TGGGTATAATGGATATATATGTGTTTTTTATGTGTGACTTGTGGGTAGAGTGGATGTATGTCTGTTTGTTTATGTTTAAGTTCCTGTGTGTGTGCGTGTGTGTGTGTGTATGTGTGTGTCACATCAACAAGGACTGCAGAGATAAGGTGCAGTTTACTCCTGGAACAGAGGAACTTATAATTAAAGAACCCAACCAATGCACCAAGACCCGCATAGAATGCCAATACGAGCGACTATCAGCGCCTGGCGTTTATGGCAGACGAGCTTTTACTTGTACTGGTGCTGTGTAAGGGTGCGATCCTTTAGTGTTTGGTGAAGTGAAAGACAGGATGAAAATCTCAGCAGTTACGTGTATTTTGTTATGGCAGTTTTGTGAGAGATTTAGCCTCTCTCTCTCTCTCTCTCTCTCTCTCTCTCTCTCTCTCTCTCTCTCTCTCTCTCTCTCTCTCTCTCCTGGCGTTAATTAGTTCAATTCCTTAAATTCCAATTCCGAGAGAAAACTATATATTCAGTTCATATGTTCTTTAGCCATTAGACTTACAGTCTCGGTCCCTAAATGGGATTTTGTTCAAAATCTCAGTATAGGTGTACAGTGCTCCTGAACATGCTGGTTCCGAATGTATGGTCGACAGTTCGATTGCAGGGTAATTACTGATCGTAATGACACTTAGAATATTTTAATCTTAATTTTTCTCAATGTTAATAACTGTACTCGCCAACTATGGGTTCCGAGGCGACTTTTTGGGTATTTAAATGTTATCTGGAAGTAATTACATAGTTAAACCCCTTAATATGTCTCGCATTCCGCGCCTCTCAACAAGTTATAAATGCGTCAACTTTTTAGAATATTTCAGTAAAATTTCGGAAATTCCTGGTGTATTGATACGAATTGGCGTGTTAAACTTTACGCCTCTTACACCTTCAAAATAATAATAATTATAAGAAGAAGAAGAAGAAGAAGATTTCCGTTAATGAGCGCCGTGACTCACCTAACTAACTAGCAACAAGTTAACCTCTGCGTATTGTAACAGTTGCTTAGGCCGCCAAAATAAAAAGGGTTGGAGCTTAACTGATAAGGTGAACTGTGGTGAGTTTTACAGTAGCATAGGTGTTGTGTGGCAGGAGTACAGGTGACCTCCTTACACTACCTGTTCTTAATCACCTCATAAAGCGCGGGAAGGGACGCACCTCGTCAGGTGTTCCGTCTCCTAATTACTCCAGTGTCAACAAAAGACAAACGCTAGGGCGAGTACTGTTGTCTTTGGTGGGGGGTAGAGTTTTAATACTTTTTTCTACAATTCTTCTAAGCAATGTATTAACAAATCCAAATGACCTAGACGACTTAACTGATCAAATGTCGTGGGAAAATATTAACCAGAACTTAAAGATTATTTCATATCATTTGGAAGAAAATACCAAATTGGATCAGTGTTTCGCTAACACGAATTCAACAAAAGAGAAACGACAACAAAACTAAAATAATGGCACTTGATAGTAATGAATGAGTATGTGTAACCTCGAATATAATTTACAATTATACTTTATCCCTCAACTATAGTGAAGGAAAATAGAGACAAGATCACTGCGTACAAAACAGTGCACGAAAGGACAAACTAACTACAAAAATCGTAAAACAAACTTGACTTGGTACAGGTGTGGGAGGGCCCGGACAAGAAACACTGTGTGGGAGTATAAACAAGCGTCAAGGTCGTAAAAAAACACGAGAACAATATTTCAGGGGCGTATCATTAGCAGATCTCCTCCAGATTTCAGAAAAAAATAGTGAAGCATATGTAAATGTGCGGACGGTGGTAACACTGACCAGCCACACGCGGGGTCAGCCTCGGGCGGCGTCAGTGTTGCCAACGTTCACTGAGATGGTACAGTCTCACCCAAAAGTTCGTTAACTCTCCCAGCCAGCTGTTGCTGCACTGCCTACTTCAGATGTTTGAAACTGTCTCAGTATCATGCAAGAACATGGAACCGAGACGAATGAATCTAAAGGTTCGAAGTAACAGACTCAAGTTCATACATCTGAAGCAGGCAGTGCAGCAATAGCTGGCTGGGAGAGTTAACGAACTTTTGAGTGAGACTGTACAGTATTACAGCGTGTAGCTTTGACGAAATTTTGGATTCGTAAAGTTTCGTACGCCGAGTTTCCTTCTTAACTAAAGATGATGTAAGAACACATATAACTGGTTCGTGTAAGCTATCGACACAGAGTTGTATTCTCAAGGATTCGGAAGATGTGGGAACACAATACCTCGTTCTCGTTCACTGAAGTGAGACAAACTTTGATTCTCACAAGTTCTTCCTGACTATACGACACAGATATGGCGACTATCATGGTATCTAAACTGTATTAAGACTCTACTGTACCTCTACACCTCCTCTGTCCACAGTTAAGAGGGGATGTTGAATGAATCTTTAAGTCTTCCTGACCAACAACCGCATTATCAAATCTTCGTAAGTTTAATTTTCAGTCGTAAATTAAACTTGTAAGAAAGTAGCCAACTGGTTGACCAGCTAAAATACAGTTAACACGTACAAAATATGGCATCAAATCTATCCTGGGACTCTACTTAAACTAGATACGTTCATTTAGCACTAGATAATATTAAAGGGAGAGGTTGGGTATAAAACATTTTCCTCTCTCTCTCTCTCTCTCTCTCTCTCTCTCTCTCTCTCTCTCTCTCTCTCTCTCTCTCACATCAGTTTATGTGTGTGTACCAGATTCACTTTAGCACTGTACTGTAAAGTGGATTACCTGCTGGCCTGGGCACACCAAAACACTCAGCAATTTTTCACGAGGAAGGCCAGCAGTATGTACCCTGCAGAAGGTGTGTAGAACCCTGAAGGAGGCGTGTGTGGAGCTGTATCACCCCCCCTCCTCTTCACTCATCGAGTTGTCCATCCCTCGACAAGGCTGGAAGGGGAATGATGAAAAAAATATCGGTGTGACACTCGCCATTATGTAAACAAATGAAAATCGACCGAGTGACAAAATGGTTTTTATTCTCCATAGTCCAAAAATAAACAAAAAATACGAAATTTTGGATAATAGAAGATTTATTACCATAGATTCAATATATTACTCAACGTAAGAAAAAATCACTATGTTCCTAAGATATATTTAAACTTTATATTGGCAAATACACGAAGATTTACACTATTGTTAAGGAACTTTTTAATACATAAGCAACATACAGACACATATTACACTTGCATGTCTCCACACGTTCTCTGGTGTATGTAAAGTATACTACACAGAATATTGACTTAGGGAGGATAAAGTACACAAGATAATTTCCTGTATATTGAACATTAGATACTTATAATACACCTACACAGGGAGAGATAATTACACTGGCTACACTGAGGGAACAGGTATACAGAACCAACCCAGGGTGAATGACAGGGTGTTGTGTATGGATGTAGAAGGAGAAAGAGACAAAGTTTAGTGTGTATAGATGTTGAAGGAAAGAGAGACACGATTAGTATGTGTAGGTGTACTGTGTGTATATAACTGTTGCATGTGTAGGTGTAGGAGGCTAAATAAATAACATGCAGTGTCGGTGTAGTGTGTGTCAGCATAGTGTACTGGTGTAGTTTTATGTAGGTGAAACAAGTGTAGGTGGGTGTAGGTGTAGTGAAGACGTGACCACAACACCCCCTTAAGCCTGGCACCACTGTCTCACGCCCAAGCATCAATATCTCATTAAAATTGCAGATGTTATTTAGTGTGTTACTGCCGGCGGCCAGATTGGATTACGACACGACGGAAAAATGCCTCCCTGTTATAGTGAAAATTTTTGACCCGGGAGCAACTTTTTTTGAGCAGAAGGGGAGGAGTCTGGGGAGGTGAGTGTGGGGAGTTGAGGTGTGTGTGGGGAGTTGAGGTGTGTGTGGGGAGTTGAGGTTTATGGGGTGGTAGGGAGGTGAGTGTTGGGAGTTGAGGCTTATGGGGAAGTGGGGAGGTAAGGATTATGGGGCGGTGATCGTGGGGAGATGGGGAGGACTACACTACTACAGTAAACAATTCATACAACTATAACACACCATAATACACCAACCATGTCCATACACCAACCAACTACACTAAATAATACAGGGAATCCAGCTTCTCTACTCAGCATACAAAATACACAAAACATACAATATACACACAAGGCTCAACCGTAATCTTTCCTTGCGTTATATATACAGGAAATACACAATTATAGCCCAGCATACAACAATATATATGAGCCTCAATTCCCCCAGACACCCAGAAAATACACACAACTCCCTCTGCGAAGTATACACAATATACATGGTTAGTATTTCTGGTAATAGAAGAGGAAGGGGTGCTGCCATGGTGTGTTCCCCCTTGTCAAGCCTGGCTACAAAAGTTTAAATGAACACAATTGGCTCAATGAATTAGACAACGTTTAATTGTTTTTGTTATACTGCCTGTGTATGGTGAAATATGGTGTATACGATAGTGTGTATGATGTATGATGGTGTATGATGAAGTATGATGGTGTCTATGTTGTATGATGATGTATGATGGTGTATATTTGGCATGTATATTGTATAATGATATTATGTTATACGTTTGTGTTACGTTGCATAGTGTGTGATGTATAATGGTGTGTGTGTTGTATGATGCTGTGTTAACATACGCCTTCAAGGAACTACAGATAATACAATGAAACATTCACTATCCGTCTATACATATGTATCCGTCTACCCTTCCATCTGTCTATCTATTACTAACCAGCGGTAACAACCCATTAAGGTAACTACCGCATTATTGCAGTCCGGGAAATAATTCGCCTAAGTTTTATTTATTTGACAATTATTCTATTATTTTTATATATAAATAAATGTGTTGTTGCTAAAACTGAATATTTTTTATAATATAATTGAGTATATCTTTAGTTAATGTTGGCAGCCATGCGTGGTCAACAGTGGGGGGGGGGGGACTCAGCCACACACCGCCCGCTCATTATGACTCAGGACTCCTCGAGGTGTGGGTTGCTGCCGGTCGACTCTCGCCTTTTGTTCTTCATAATTTCGGTATGTTTTGGTTCCGATTTTGAGTAATTAAATTTATACTAGTGCAAATGAATTCATACATTATTGTTATTTATTTGTAGATTGGGATATTGTAATTTAACCTGCTGAAGACCGATTTCCACAATTTATTGTAGGAATTTGTCAATGGAGTAATGCGAGGGAATTGGTTGATGGTTTGAGGATTTTTGTGGGACTTTCATTTCTGTAGAACATCCTGGAATTTACTAAAGCTACTTCAAGAATAATGTCAAATTATCATTGTACTGTAGTGGTGTCATCACCACTGTGGTTGACAAGTTCATTTCCCCAAGTCTTGGCAAGCATAGTGTAGTCTTTATCCTCAAAGTACAGTTCAGGCATGAATCCTATTTATTTTTGGACCAACATAAGTTTCATTTGCAGGATTATCACATTATGAACTGCAGGGAGTTACTTACAGTACATCCATCTGAACAATCTGAAACCTCCATGTTGCATGTCTTCACTGACATAGGTGGGACGTTCTTGCAAATTCAAGGAATTGAAAAGGGTTCTACCTCAAGATGAAGGCAGAGACGGTGAGCTCATGAATACAGGGTATTTTAAAACTTGGATGTCGGTGGTTTTCTGTAACAAATATCGGTGATGGTTGTAAAGTTTCGTGACCAAGAGCGGTCAGACTAATTACCCAAATGTACCCAAATATAGCTGGAATGAAGTTAAATAATGGTCCTACATGAATAAATCGGACTGCTAATCACTTCTCGACTAGTATTTGGTGTCCTAAAGTCACACAAAATTGGAAAACTTGCTTTAATCTGAGTTAATAGATCGCGTGCATGTACCGACGGAGCGAGGAATTACCCAAATGTAGCCGCAATGAAGTCTAATGATGGTCGTACAATCGTAATTCGGGCTGTGAATCACTTCTCGATTATTATTTGGTGTCATAAAGTAAAAAAAAAATTGGTTAACTTAATTTAATCTGAGTTGTGTTGGGTTAGGTTAGGTTAGATTAGATTAGATTAGGTACATGCACTCGATCTATTAACTCAGATTAAATTAAGTTTAACAACTTTTTGTGACTTTGACACCAAATACTAGTCGAGAAGTGATTGGCAGTCCGATTTATTCATCTAGGACCATTATTTGACTTCATTCCGGCTATATTTGGGTACATTTGGGTAATTAGTCGGACCCACCAAGAGTAAGGTGGAGCTATTTAAAGTATCGCATGTTGATCTGCCTGATGCTTACAAGATTAAGAATTAACATTTAAATTGCTAAACTATATTCAGGGGCAGATCCATGAGGGGTTAGGGCCATTTCTTTTTTTGATCAGAAATTTCCAATACTGTACTTATTCTTTAATGCAGTATTGTACTTTGGCGTTTTTTATATAGTAAAAAGTAGTCAATTTGTAGTTTTGACCAACCACGGCTTTTGGATTGAGCAATGTCATTTGCAGGTGGTTTAGATAATTTTAAGAGATTTCTTTGAAGTTTCCCTTGCAAATGACAAAATTACCCAACCTAACCTATCTTGAGTCTGGATCCCTGGTATATTTTAGATAATTTGCAAGGGCAACTTCATGAAATGTCTTAAAATTGTCTAAACCACCGGAAAAACACCTTGTTCAACTGGAGAGCCGTGGTTGGTCGAAACTACAAACTGACCAAAAGTAATTACTATTGACCTCAGAATATCCCCCAATATCAAATGCACATGGCCTCAAAATGCTCATATTAGTCAGATTTTAAAAAAAATCTAGATGGAGTCTGCTTGCCATGTTCCTCCACCCACATCTTTGACCCCCACCTTTTTGCCTTTTGATATTCCTGGATGTGCCCCTGATACTCTAAACTGGGTAATTATATAGGACTAACTCGCTAGCAAAATTAATTGAAAAAAATTATAAAAAAAAGTGATTTTCACTTCTATAGTGGACACGGTTGTAGTTTGTGGAAATGTTAACAAATGGATATTTTAAAAATAAATGTTACGTAACATGTGGGTATGAAAAACAGACCTAACCAATCTAGCCAAACAAACCTACCTAATCTTGCCTAACTTCCTTACTGGAGGGCTCCGTCCCCCGTGTATATTAAACAAAACATACTATGATCTGGTGAATTTTGAAGCATTTTCTGAATGCGAGATATGGCTGCATCGGCGCTATGCACCCCGGGCAGCGAAGTGATTTACTGTGTTGGCTTGTTCCATAATAAATGATTATCTTATCAGAACTTGCTGAAAATAATGTAAGAAAATAAGTCTCTAGGTAAAGAAATACTGCTGTGGTCTTTAAACAATTGGAGGGTCTCGTTGTCTTTATCCCTAAATTCACAAATTACATCCATGCAAGGTCGGCGACAACCTTCACACGACATGCTGAAAAAGAAACTGCCCCGGCGCGAGGAAAGCCCCTAGGCAGAGTGCGGTCTCATTACTGCCCGCAAGACAAATTAGTGAGTGCCTAGGCATCTATGAAATGAACAATTTCCATAAAAAATTATCATCTCAGAACTCACGGATGAAAATCATTTAAGAAAGTGAACCGTACTAAAAATAACAAGTGTGGGTTAGTCCTATACAGTGCTGTATATTAACCATAAACTTGCTGCTTAGCTTCTTGAAATAGAAATTGGTTACAATAGTTTGTTTTACATTTGTTCAGCTTTGTGAATACTGTATTTGATTTGTGTTCATCAAACTTTAAGTTCTATCTTCAAATGTTGCAGGATTTACTTAGTTGAAGTATTAATTATAATTATTTGCCATTCATAAGATTTTTCTTTGCAGATGACAGATCTAGTTGCTTGGGTTATTTTGTGGTCTTGAAGAATGTGTAGGAGAGGATGACTGGGTAGAATGTTGCTACACCAGTGATTGTCAACATCGACACATTAATTTGTTGAGGTAAGATAGTTTTTGGTGAAATGTATAGTCTGTTTACTTGAAACTTTGCAACAGAGTCCTGGGTCCGTTTGTAAGAAGGCAGCTGATTTCTTTGACTAGTCAAAAGTTTGTAATACAGTATACATATATGATTATATTGATAATTTAAGGGATAACAATTTGTCGATCTGATAATAAAAAATATCAAAGGGAACACGAGCAAGTTTAGCGATTTAAACTCCACCACATATCAGTGTGGGGGACAAAAACAGCGAGGTTTTCACTTGAATTCTGTACTGTTTTCTCTTAAGTTTACCGTTTTTGTTTCCCCAAGTGTGGAAATGGTAAAGGCATACGAAAGCGCTACAACCAGAAGGAAATGTACATTTTGGTTTAAATTTTTTGTACGCTATTAGCATATTAAACACAAAAATGGAAACCACAATGCATAGAACCTATTAGAACCTGACCTAACAAACCCAGTATGTTGGGTGTGTTAGGTCAGGTTCTATGCATTGTGTTAATATGTTATTAGAAAATCTTGAACTTGCCATAATATTGATTGATATACATTAGCAATGGCGAGGAGGAATTCGTGGAGCCGGGAAGGGAATTGTGAAGCCGGACCGACTAACGGTAAGAAAATAATTTGGGCATTAGAAATGCACCTAGACGTAATTTTTACGTCATAACATCAGTGTTAGCTGTGTTTTTACCCTGTAATTTCCATCCTCCTTCATGCCCTGCCCACTAACCAGGAATTATAATCTAATAAAAAGTTGGTTTCTTTTAATATACTGTACTTAAAATCAAAATAAGTTTAGCAAAACTGAAGAAAATCAACAGACAACTTCTGGTGGTAGCGCTTTCGTCAACCTTTACCGTGGAATTTATAAGAACACAAGTTATTATCGCTTAAATTATCAAACTGACCCTAAGCATCTGATGAAAGTTGAACAGACTACAGTACAGAATGTAACTTATCTCAGAAACATTATTTAAAGTCAAACTATTCAGTGCAATTATCTTAGTGGTTTCATTGGGGTTTAATTTTTAGTTCCTGCAATAATTCCATGCAAAAGCAGTTGGTGTACTGTCTGTTACATAATTTTAGGTCATTTGCGAGGGAAACGTTGTAGAAGTAGTCTTAAAATTGTCTAAATCATAGGAAAAACATTGTTCAACTCGAGAGCCGTGATTGGTTGAAACTACGAATTGACCTTTATTAGTGTTTTATTTAATAAAATGCAAGCACAAAATACAAATCCTCATTTAAATTCCACTTGGGACTGTAGTGAGGGACGCTGATAACACCTGTGATACACGAAAATGCCTCGGGTAAGCACTAAAATTTAGTGGTGCCGAATGTGGAGATATTGTTAAACTTTACTTTAGTTATTGATGAACAATCCTCTTGAACCAAGATGATTACATTTATTGAATTCCAGAAATAAGTTCATGTAATTTTCCATTTCATTGTTAGTTGCTTTATTACTTTTTTTAAATAAAGACAAATATATATTCATGTCTAAAATTAGTTGTAAAAATTTTACTCTGCTGTATGAAATTTTAACAGCAGTAAAGTTAGGTAATGTAATGCTTCATACATATCCTCTTTACCACTGGTTGGCTTCGTTAACTGCTTGGGGTCGATCACATCTGTTATGTACTGTTGGCAAGTACTGGACATGTACTGGCTCCAGAATACATCTGTATCTGCACCAGTGTTGGTAAAGTCGAGTTTTGAATCTCATTCGGTGCAATCACAACATTCTGGAAGATTGTTCCAGTTTACATCTCCAAAGTAGTTTGTCCTAGACAATTTTCTGAATGTGTGGCTTGTTCAACTTGAAGCCTTGACCCTTGTGGGGCAGGTATCTGCCAGTTTATGAACACTTTAGTGCCCCGAGATGTTATTAACTTTTATTAAGTCGCCCTTTCCCTAACTATAAGCTAGGCAACTGCAGCGTTCTAATCTTTGGGGGCCTGAGGTGCTGTAGTGCATGCACCAGCCTGGAAGCCTCGGGTTTTAAAGTCTCTTGGATATCCAGGGAACCAAACGGCATAACTACTTGAAATGGGGGAAACTCCTCACTTTTGAAGACTGCTACATGGATCATATAGGTATGTGAATGCCCTTCTTATAAGACCCAGTAGCTTAGTTGGTCGATTCGCCTCGCAATTCGGTTAGTTGTCAACATACACACAGGTCCTTTTCACATTTGGTCTCGGTTAATGCCATTTCTTCATCCCATTGGGACATGATAAACTCTTTAGTATCTTTACTTTTGGTATGACCTATGTACATTGTGACCTTGAATCTTGTCATTCCGTTGACCATTGCTGAAGCGAACAGATCTTTCTGTATCTCTTCAGTTTGTATGTTTGGTTCATACTTTCCCAGAATAACCTGGCATTGTCTGCAAACATTTGAATAGAGGAGCGTATAGCTTCTGGTCTCGGTACTCTGCTCTGCGGTACTCCACTTGTCACAGGTACACATGATGATTTTGTGCCATTAATCACCACACACTGCTTGTGGAAAAGTCTGATCCATGTTGGGACACTCCCTGAATACCATAACCTTCATGAGTAATTTTCACCCTTCCATGTGGTGCTGTCAAAAGCCTTGGCTAAGTCTAGTTGTATTTATTATCAATACACATTCCAGGATCAGTACACACATTCACTACCTTGAGAAATTAAGGAGTGTCCCACCATAAAACAAAATTGGCATTCCTTAACAAGGTTTCAGATGTTCCATCATGGCTTCTTGTATACTACTAGAGTACTTTACATAAATATTATAAAAGATCGATATACATAGGTGCTTATATACGCGCAGTCTGGAGGGAGGTAAAACACTCAGGGTAACGAAATGGCTATTGTAGCTTAGACGAGGGGCGGGGCTTACGGGCCGGCTTGGTGTGGAAATACTAATAGTGCGTTTACAGGGGCTCGTCATATAAGCCTTCCACAAATTACATTAGATTTGTTTTGATAATTTTACTTTGATACCATGCTATGTTTAATTTTGTGAGTTTCCTTCTGTTGAATGTTATCCAACACAGGGCTGCCACACTGCACAAAACCTGATGGACCCCTGTAAATGCACTAGTGAAGGGGATTACATTTTGACACATTAATCTAATAATCAACCGATACCATAATGTCAGTGTTGTCACTTAACTGAAACACGTGTAGGTTGTTTGCATTCTCTTGTTAACACTAAAGAAAAACAAATAAAGTTAATGCCATTGCCTTGCTCTCATCTGAGTCTGTACCTACCATAGTCTTGGGTTTGATATGCACACACATTTTAAATTTAGATTTAGTATTGGGCTCATTTTGAATCCATCTCTGATAATCTTTCTCAGTCCTACACTCTAACTAGGCTTGGATCCTGAATTTAGCATACATCCTTCTGTCCTGGTCTTCATTTGTGTAACAGTCTCCTTGTATTTCTGGAGTCAGTGGGTTTGATCTTGGGTATATATTTAAAAAAAATTTCATTACTGGCTGTGATGTTCAGAATAGTGTTTGCATTCTAGTATCTCAGCAAGTCAGGCCAGTGAATACTGCTCTTTTCTGTGACTATTAATTAATTGTTCCCAAAATTATTTAATGTCCTTCCTTGTTAAATGAATGTTCGATGCAAAGGCAAAATAAGTCATAAATGTTGCTACCAATAATAGATAAGAATAGCATATTATTTTTTTATAGTGGATGGGTTGTGTGCTTGGCAGTGGTGCAGTGAACTGAACCTGTAGGATCCCTGTTGATGGGCTATGCTGCTAGTACCCATCCCGTGATCTACCAGAAATTGCTTTGCAATCTACTGGTAGATTGCAATCATTTTGGCCACCCTTGCTGTACAGGTTGTGTGTTCTTTTTTATGGGATCAGCCCACCAGGGCACAGGTCAATGACCCACATCAGGGCCCGGGGGTGAAAATATAATAATGAAATAATAATAATACAGAAGTAGTTCAAAAATCCGGACTGCTTGGGGATTGGGTCGGTCCGGATTTTCCGGATTCTCAGGCAGTACTTTTAAAATTCAAATTTAAGGAGAAATAAAGAGATGAACAGGTACATTTTGATAGTTTATTCATTAGCAAATATAGCATGCTTCATTTATCAAAACGAGCAGTTTTAAAGAAAAAGCTGTGAATTCTAAAATTTTATTCTTTGCCTTTTTTATACACTATCATAAATTGTAGACTTTCCAATGTCTGTTTCCATTAGAACAGTATTGCTCACACCACGTTCTAGTTTCTTAATTATTTCAAGTTTGTCACTCAATTTCAACGTGTTCTTCTTTCTCTTCACACAACGAAGTTTATTTACTTTAGGAACCATTATTATGGGGTTGTACAGTACTCTGTAAATGGAAAGAGTAGGACTCAAGATTACATACGTTGTCACAGTATGATTGCTCGTTTTAAAGTGACGACCGCGTGGTCGCTTGTTGCTGTGTAGCTGTGGCGCTCACGCATGCACACATACACACAAGCCAACTAAAAAAAAAGTTTGAGTTTTCGAAAAGTCCGGATTTCTGGCATCCGGATTTTTGGACTTTTACTGTAATAATAATACCGGGTAATTAATAAAAAAAACGTTAAATAAATATAATGTATAATAATAGACCATAAATAAATACAAAAATTAAAAATAGGTCAACAGTGAGAAATGTGTTGTTGCCAAAGTGAAAAACAATTGAGACTGCAATTGTGTGTAAATGAGGCAGAAAGTCAGATCAGCAACCTGGGACTTGGTCACAATTTTTGTGATACAAATGGCAGCAGGGTCTACCATTAGACAATGCATTATGCTTCCAATATCTTCCCAGATGGTAGTACCTGTTTGATAGCCGCCTACTACCTACAGGTTATGTAACTGAACTTTATCATAAATGATAACCTGGTAGTGAATATACCATGCCAGGCAATGTAGCTTTTATTTTGTCTCCAGAGAAAAATAATTGGGTAAAAAAAGAATACTGTACTGAAGCCAATGAAAAATAATTAAGTGTCAGTGGTGATGAAAGTAGTCTTCAAGACCATCATAATTAAGTTGCCAGGTAATACGTTTTATCAGTAATATACTTATCTTTAACCTTTAACCATCTCGGCTTTTAGTTTCCAGAAAGTCTTATCGTAAAAATGACGGATCTATTTACCCATCATTTCAGAATGAGGTAAAAATATGGATTTTGTTCAAAATTCATACAAAGGTAATTTGACATACTGGTAAAGGATTTGGGTTCAGAATTTTAAAAATTTCTTGTTAATTAAGGAGCTATGAATTAATTTAAGATACAGTATACAGATCATTAAATCAAATACGTTTCCATGTTTTAAATCGTCCTTGTATACAAGGTCTGACAATAAAGTTTGCAAACTCACGCTACAGGCCCCTTGCAATGCTATACACGAACACCAGCATTTCTTCTGCCCCTGGAAACATTTCTGGAATAGCTTTTATAGCTGCCATCGTGCTACGGAGTTATCCACGTCTTGAAAATCCATCCCCTTGATGTGTCTTCAGCGAAAGAGTTGAATATGGGGCCAGGTCAGGTGAATGAGGGTGTTTCATTTAGGTAATTTGTTTCTCGGCCAAAACCTCCCCCACAATCAATGCCGTGTGTGCTGGGACATTGTCATGATACAAAATCCACTAGTTAGCAGCGAAAAGTTCTGGGCGTTTTTGTTGAACTTTTTCTTTTAAGCACGTCAGTATAGTAAAACTGGATCACCCTCTGCCCAGAAGGAAGTGTCTTTGTGAACTATACCCTTAGAATCAAAAGTGATGAGCATTGTCTTCACTTCTGAATTTGATATGCGACACTTTTTGGGGCGCGGCGAATTTCCAGTATAACACCAAGCGCTCTGGCTTTTCGTTTCAGCGTCGTATTGATACACCCTTGACTCATCACCAGTAATGACTAGGTGAAGCAGTTCATCTCCAGCTTTTTCTCTTTTCAAAAGGTCTGAGAAAATTTCAACTCTTCTTTGTCAGTTTTTTTTGGCAACATTTTTGCACAAACATTTCTCATCTTCTAATCTTTAGTAGAAATCTTTGTTTTCCTATTAATCTGCACCTCATTTGCAATGCTTCTCACCGTCAATCACCCATTAGCTTGCACAGCTTTCCCAATTTTCAGTTTTCCTTAGTCCTGCTCGTTGTTGGTCATCGTTCTGTCATTGTCTGTCACATTCTCTCTTCCCTCAGAAAATTGGTTCATCTATTTGTAAACTGATGTTTTCTTTAGTGCATTATCCCCATAAACTTTGGTTAACATGTCTCAAATTTCAGGCCCTGCTGGGGTAGTAAGAGAAGATCAAGGTCACACATGCCACTCGTTCTTTACAGTGCTGCCGCCTGTTGAGCCATGCGGCGAGTTAGACGACTTAATTGTTGAACCTCGTGAGGGAAAATATTGGTCAATATTAATAATAAAGTATAAATACACTTAAAATTATGAACTTTTTAAAGGTGCAGTAGATAAAGATGTTTGTGACCTGGGTGACATGACTGCTAAATTTGTATTCTTTGAAGAAGTTATTCATTCACCCCTTGTTAATGGAGTTCCCTCCGAGCTGAAAATAGTTTGGCATTAGCCAAATCAAATATTGAACACTTTTGGGGCCCGGGGTGCATGCCGCCACCACTTAAAGTGGGCAGGGCGTGCTCGGCCAATGACAATCGTGGCATAAATGTTTGCATTTTATTATTGAATCCTACGTTATTTTCCATCGTGTTTAATTTTTTAAATATTAGTGTTTCTTCACAAATGATTGCTCTACAATGCTATTCAACAAACCGTTTAATTTAACACCAACGCACAAAAATGAGTGATTATCAGAGGGTAGCATCTGTGTGCTGTATAGCCTTAAGAGAGACTGATGATCGCAGGCTCTCAGGGCGGTTATCCCAACAATGGTTATCACAGTTGTAAGGTAAGAATGGGAAAACAATAGTGTGCATTTTGAGACTTGCCATGAAAATTACTCGATAAATAGATTTTTGGCGATTTTTTGATGACAATACTAGTCATTGGTCTGCCAAAGTATAAAGTGAAACCCCTGTATTGAAGGGGTTGAAGCAAATGTTTACTTGTATAAAGATAAAAGGGGCATCAAAATGGAATTTGTTCAATATTTGCTTTTGTGTAGTGGAGACATTTGTTGAAATTATTATCAAGCATGTGTATATTGGGTCCAGGGGATACCTGCTTTGATGCAGCATGTACTGTACAACTGTGCAGGGGGTCCTCGGGTTACGAATGGGATCCGTTCCCGAGGACGTTCTCAAGTTGAAAATGTACGCAAGTCAAAACGCATGCCATATGCATACCGTATTTGCTGAACAATGTTTAAAATCTCACTACAGTATATCATTGCCCAAGTCTTTATACTTCTAAAATCACTTAACTTAAGAGAAAAGAATAGAATGACAAAACACCGTAAATGAAAGTAAAAAACAAATCGGGTAAATAAAATGCTGTGTACTTGAAATTTAACCTCGTTCGTATCGGCGGGTGTTCATAAGTCATTGACCCCCTGCATTCTCTAGGCAGTGTACTGTAGGTATACTATTTAATTTTTATTGGTACAGAGTTGTAACAATATTATTTGCTTCAGGGTCACTAATTGAAGATGGACGATGCAAGAAATGACCAAGTTTTCTTCTGGTGAATGGACTCTTGCTGCACTTCACCAGAATCATCAGGTTGGGTACTGTATGGGGCATCATTCATAGTGGTTTCTTCACTAAACTCGATAAAGTACAGTAATTGTAACTCTTGGACTGCCGTGTCTAGTTGTCTCTTCAAAGTGTAAATATCAATAAAGTATTGGTACTGTACAATACAATACTAGGGATGCACCAATTAGTTGGTATCGGCTACAAATAATAAAAATATTTAGCTGAATAATTAGTATTGGGAAACAAAGTATTAGTGGATGCCTTTTTGCAGTCTGTTTTGGGTTAAGAGATTACTCGGTAAAAATTTTATTACCAGTGATATACAGTAATTACGTCAACAAGTTAAGTCCGTTCACTTATTATGGAAATGTTACACTCGGCTGCCCATCATTGCCTTATGGTTTTGATTGGACAACATGGCAGTATCCTCTGTGCAAGTCCGTCTACCACACTTCATTATACGGTAGGGAATATATTATGCCAGACAATGTAGCTTTTATTTTATCTGAAGAGAAGGGTAATTGGGGAAAGATGGATGCTGACAAAAAAGATTTGTCTTGATGTGACTGATGTAATGAACAAGTTGCCAGGTACCTCATCTTTTAAAATTCAAATTGTTTTATATAATGAAGCATACTGAAAGTACTTAATATATTTTATTTACCAATATTGGAACTTACGGACCCAGTACAGTATTAACTCTTCTAATGAACAAGATAGGTTGTTGAGGCTGGATATGTTCTTACTAATAACAAAATAATGATGAACTTCCTTTAAATAATGTTTTCTTTGAGAATAATTATGTAATTACTAAATTTTAAATAATGATTAAATGTTCTAAAGACGTCTTAAACGTTAGAAAAAAAGTTGCCATTACTAGAAATACTGATTTTCCACCAGTTTCCATCCTAAAAGTCCATCCAGCGCAACAATACAACAAAAATGAACTGTCACCGGGTGACGAAACTTAAGTTTTACGTTCCAATGAAGACTTTAACATAAATAATAAATTAATCTAAATTTAATAAGCAACACTTTTAGTTAATTTTTTGAGTTTGATGTGGTTTACCACCGCTGCCTCATACTCCTGCTCCGACTTAGATGCTCATCTGCCTCAAACTAACATGAGTACACTAATTTTGCTCATTAATGCTTGACTAGGTGAACTAATTCAGAAATGTAGGAATTGTGCATAAGAATATTGTACACGTAAAGTTACCTATGTGTACACCTAATAAAAATTACTTGGTAACATTCATTTTTAATATACAATACTACCCATTTGTAGAATCATAATGAATGAGACCTGTGATTGGCCAATTCACAAGAAATTCATTGATGTAAACTTAGTGAAAAGCTATTGCATTCTTTATATATCAATAATTTCTAAAGCAAAGTCATTGAAAGACAAAATTTTAAATATATTGACAGAACTATGAACCAAAGATACAGGACAATTGAATATATTGTAGTTATGACACATCATCAATAACTCTAATGGTTAAACTAAACTTGTGGGGGAAAGTTTAGTGATGAAAGGTTTTTGGTTTTTCATAATTTTGTCAATATGAATTTGTACAGTATACATGGTCAGGTTATTGTTACTGAACTGCTGTACAGTTCCTGATAATATTCCCTGGACACTTGGCAGTATGTTATCAAGGATCATTAGATGAATGATTGGAATTGCCCAATTTTCTGATTAATGTTTGTACATTTTGTCCTTGTTAAGTAATTTTGTCTACAACAGTACAATACATTTTGTCATTACTGCATTTTAAAGATTATTCTGGTTAAAAATGTGATTATAAATTTTACATTTTATTTTGTACAGAAAAGTTAATCTGAACATTTGTGGTGGCTGCTGCCCTGGACTGCCCTGCTTCCCACCAAGGCCCTGCTGCCCACCACTGCTGTGCTGCCCTGGACTGCCCACCACTGCCCTGCCCAGCCCACCACTGCCCTGGACTGCCGTGCTGCCCACCACTGCCCTGGACTGCCGTGCTGCCCACCACTGCCCTGGACTGCCGTGCTGCCCACCACTGCCCTGGACTGCCGTGCTGCCCACCACTCCCCTGGACTGCTGTGCTTCCCTCTACTGAAAGAAAAATTTATAATGCCATTAAGTTTCCAATAATAAACTTCTAAATGTAATTACATGTATTCATTAACCTTTTCCCTGCATTTACAGAATTTCACTTTATAGCACTTTGAAATTTAACAGAAAATTAACTTCAGCTTTTGACTTGAACAAAATACTTTCATAAAGCATTTGAAAAAATTATCAATATTAAACAAATATAATCTCGTATAAATATATATGCAAATAATGGAAAAATATATAAAAATATTAATGGAAAAAATAAAAATGGCTAAAAAAAATAATTAACTTTTTGGAAAAATTTTGCTATATTTTCTTGAAAAAATCAAAATTTTACTGTTTTTCATTGAAAAAATGGAAAATTTTGCCATTTTTTTAAAAAAAAAGCCAAAAAAAATTTGCCCTTATATCCCCTAAGTCAATATTTTTTTTTTTTGTCCAGGTTTAGCTTTGAAGAAATTTGGCTAATAATAATTAGAAGTGTGTACAGAGACAAGCCCTTCAAATTATTATTAACCAATAAAAAAAAAAACTTACAAAACACAAGCACAACAGACTACTGTACCTGGTCGTAGGAAGAAAATTCTGTACGCACCTCACTGGCCCACAGAGTTACTCTCCCCACGTCCAGGTAGCTTACAAGAAAACTGAGATACCAAGCTGGAGCTCTTAGGAATGGCATGAATTTTTTACCCCCAAAACCAGACAAAAATTTCTATTATGCCCATGATTAATTTTTGGACTTAGAATATTTTGAAACCGAATTTTTGGACTTAGAATAATTTTTTAAAAGATGGAATTTTTTTTTTTTTTTTTTACTTAGAATATTTTTAAGCAAAGACTTTTTGGACTTAGAAATATTACTGTTTAGCACATTTAGACCTTACTATAGAAATAAAAATATTTGGCATAATCGGATTTAATACATGAAAATTATGACATTTCGGTGATACTATAGTATGCAGTCTACTGGGATAATTACACTACACTAATTAAAATGGATCGTTATAATTCAGATTTCGGCTTTAATATGTTTTTGAAAAATTAAATTACACAATTAGAATTCAGGATGAACCCAAAATAACAGTGGTTCAAAACGTCACCTATGGTGCCACATAAAATATTCTATTTATAATTATTGTGCAAATATAAATAATTTTAAAATGTACATAGAGCAGTAATAGAGTAAATAATACAAGTACAGTAATTAATGAATGTAAGACTTACATAGTGAGGTGAGCTTATAATATGTACATGATATTCTAAAAGTGTAATGGTTACACTGGTAAATGAAGTTAAAACCCTCATGGAGAAATAAAAGCCAAATCTTGGAGCTGGTATACTAGGATCCTCTTCAACCGACTAACAGAACAAAACAAGGGAGAAACACTTAGAACAAAGGAATCGGGTCACATGACCTGTCTCCTGAGTTAGGTAGGGTGGGGATTGGGATAGTCTTCTTGATGACAGCAGTGGACCCCAGACCTGATCCTGAATATCACTATACTTTCTGAATATCATCTACATATTATCAGTTCACCTCACAATAAGTTTTACATTTATTTATTACTGTATTATTTACTTTATTACTGTTCGTGCGCTTAAAAAATATTTGTTTTCACAGTAATTACAAATAAGAGTATTTTATGTGGCAGCAAAGACATGGTAACTGAATATGTTTGTTGGTTGGAATAATGAGGAACAATTTGAACAAACTGAACAGAAAACGAATGAATAATTGAACACAAAATTAGAGAAATTGTCAAATAATATAAAAATTTTCAGAACTTGGTTAATTCATATTTTTTCAGTAATTTGAGTGACCTAGAGCCCACTTTTTGTTGAATTAACAAGGGTATAGTGCAGTATGCGATCCACAGAGCTGGAATTGGTTTACCGGGATATTTACACTGTAGCGTCCAATAACCTAACCTAGGAAATGTTAGGTTAAGTTACGTTAGGTGAGGTTAGGGTAGGCTAAGTTAGGTAAATGGGTCCTACAGTGTAAATATCCTGGTAGACCAACTCAGCTCGGTAGACCACAAAGTATAGAGTAAATATCCCAGTAGCCACATACTATAGTAGCACCGACATTTCTTACAACCTCTCCTCATATCCTTCTTTGTCTACCTCTAAGTACCCTCCCCCCCCCCACATTCATTTGCGTATCTCTTGGCTCAGTTAGTTTCCTCCATTCTCTCCACAAGCCTGAACCATCTCAGTTTAGCCTCCAGGTACTGTACTTCTCTCTGTTGTTCCACATCTCACACAATATTTTCTCTTTTATCTCTCTCTCCATCATTCATGGCAAAGATACTGCAGGACTGGTTGGGTCCTTCATCCAGCCACAAATCTTATCAACTACACTCAACAGAGCATCTTTTATTATGACCCAGTGTCTTGATACACTGCCCCTCACTCTGTCATTGGCTGTTTCCTAGCATCCCAACTCAGAAGAAAAAGCTTCCTTTACATTCAGTTCCTTCACAATTCCCACACTCTCCTTCTTGGAATATCCACCTTCTTCCTCTTCCTCCATCTTTAAATAACATGTCACAGACATACACACAAGCATCCTCAACAAGCTACCTGTCCCATTTCCTGACAGGAATGTAGCCAATCTGGGTTTCTGTTCCACCTGACTCCTACATGGTCAGCCTACTTACCCTCTTTCTTAAACAACATGTTGCATACCATCCCCAAACTCAAGTATTCTTTCACGTTCAATAGTCCTTGTTCCAAAGCCTTTCCCACCATGCACACCTTCATAACCCACTATGTGTTCACCAACATGACAAATTTAACAGAGATCACTACATAATAAACTGTATCTCCTAAAACAACATTAACTGACATGACTATAACAGAATAATTGCCCCAAAAGTCAGTCAATAGATTTTAGAGCAACATTAAATCACACAGAAATAATGAGATTGAATTCCTAAACGGACAAAAAATGTAGTTACGGTTTAATTTAACACAAATGGGAATGAGATGTAAAGTACCAGAACAGTTCAACAGTCTCACTAAATCATATTACAGTAATTCTAACGTCCTTAAAAACACAAGAGGAAACTGAATATATTTTTTCTTTAAATTCAAATCATGTTGTGATGGCATTCTAAGTCCAAGTAAATTTAAAAAATAAAAGCCAAATTATACATGGATGAAAAGTGAGAAAAAAAGGTCAATACTCTGGTTTGTAATTAAAAGAAGACAAATTGTCATTCTTCCAGAGCTACAGCTAAGCACCTCAGTTTACAAGTTCATTCAATATTTTCCTCCACTTCACACAGCCTCACACTGCAACAGAGTAACACCTGTGATGAAACAAAATTATCAAGGAAAAGGTCAAAATATTTCCATACACTAGACCACTTTAGATAGATAGATAGATAGAGATGTATTCAGCAAACTTATCATATAAGTTTACAATTGGTTCAACATGCATATAGACAATGCAGGTACAGTACCGTATACAGTTCAGCATATAGACAATGCGGGTATACAGTTCAGCTTATATATATATATATGTATATATATATATATACTGTAGAGACAATACAGGTACACAGTTCACCATGCATCGAGACAATGCAGGTACAGTAAACAGTTCAGCATATATAGATAATGCAGGTATACAGTTCAGGGTATACATAGACAATGCAGTTATAAAGTTCAGCATGTATCTAGACAATACAGGTATTCAGTTCAGCATATAGAAAATGCAGGTACATGTATTCAGCTCAGCATATTGACAATGCAGGTACTGTATTGTATACAGTTCAGTATATACTGTATTGTGGAAATTATATTGCATAATTCCCCATAATAATTGTGAATTGTAAATCAAACCTAGTAACAACTTGCCCCGTGGAGCCCTGAAGCACCTATGGATATTTGGGTCATGGTTTTGGTGAATTTAACGTGAAATAGGCTTGTTGTCAGGGGTAAATCTTGGATTTATTACAATAATTTGTATAATCCATGACTCACATGTATAAAAATATAAATAGTGGTAATGGTCTATTACTATTATAAATAATTAGTCTGATGAACATAAGAGGCCATTAGATGGTTCACCGGGTGGAGACCAGTTGACTATCCTTGGCATTTACTTTAAATCTAGTAAATTAGTTTATATAAATAAACTAATAATTGATTACCATTGTATTTTAAGGCTAAATACAAAGTAACACTGAGTTATAGAGTACAACATATACCTTAAACTAAAAAGTTAATAATGTCAGACAGGATTGGTTCCTGCGCTTTGTGTTGAGACGTAGACCTGTGGTGTGGAACACAGCCAGAGCTGTTAACACACCCACAGGAAGAACACTTCCAAAAAGGTTCAAGATATTGTCGTTTTACTTATACATTCCATCTACAGTACAGAATAGTACCTCAAAGAACAGCTGGTTAAAGTCTTAATAGAACTTCATTAGAGACTCATAAATCCTTCCTACAATAAGCTGAGTTAATTATCTGAGAGTACATGTACTGTTGGGATTAATTGATTGATTAATTTATGGAATTTAGGCTCAAAGCCAAGCAATGGAGCCAATAAGCCAAGTATTGTTAGGAGAAAAGTGAATTGTGGGATATGGTGGAGAAGGAGGTAAGCCTCCATTTTACTTTAACAAATTAATTAATAATTATGTGTGTATAAGCAATACTTACCACATATATAGACAATGAGGTACAGTATACAGTCCAGTCCAGCATGTATATAGACAATGCAGGTACAGGTATATGAACAATACTGTACAGGTTTACCAAAAGTGATGAACAGTATAGCAATAGTCGCCACAATGTACAAGAATAGTGGCCACAATAAGTGATGTACAAAAAAAAAAAACGTCTGGGTACAGTTGGGTCATGTGATGCCAGGACAAGTTGCAAAAAAGGAAGCTACTGACACCTTCTTCATCACTTAGTCACTGGTTAAGGATCATCCCTCCCCCATATGTGTAAAAATGGAACAAGAAACTTTTGCAGATGATAGCTACCATCCCTACAGCTAACTTCTGCAGATGATAGCTAACATCCCTACAGTTAACTTCTGCAGATGATAGCTACCATCCCTACAGCTAACTTCTGCAGATGATAGCTACCATCCCTACAGCTAACTTCTGCAGATGATAGCTACCATCCTTACAGCTAACTTCTGTAGATGATAGCTCCCATCCCTACAGCTAACTTCCATAAGTGATGGCCGCCAACCCTACAGCTAACGTCCGCAGATGATGGCTACCATCCCTACAGGACACAGTAATGCAGCACTTAAAGATATACAAGTTCTGATATCTAAAAGACATCACCAGTGTTTTGGTATAAATACAATAAACAATATTTCCTTGGTTCTTCTATTATACTAAAGTGGTCTAATTGCTGAATATATTGGACAATTTCCTAAAAATATTTGTATTCTAGGTATTAATCACATGCACTGTCAACTCAGTGCTGCCTATGCATCAATTAAAGTATTGAGTTTAATCACATTATACAGTATTTCATTAATAGCTGATCAGATTGGCCTCAAAGTAAATAGGCTGCAGTCTTAATAAGTCCCAATGTAACCTAACCATTTTCATTGTGACTCAGTCCTGCTGAGCCATAATGCTAATGGTGTGGTATATTATGGTGGGGCCTTTAAGGACTGGGGACTATTCAACCTTCAACCAATGACATTAATTTCGGGGTATTCTTGGTGATTGAGCTCAATTCTTCAATACCAATTTTGGTTAGTGCTATCTACAGTGTATATAAGACAGATATAGGAAGATGGACTGAAAGATATAGATAGATGGACTGAGAGATAGACTGAAATAAATACAAATAGAGAAACTAAGAGATTTACTGTATTTTTTGCCATATAAGATGTACTTTTAAGCAAACTAATGTCTCCAGCAGGCATTTTGCATCATATACAGTATGATGATGGTCAGTGTTGTGTCCACTACCTCTGAAAGTTAGCATCGAAAATGATAAAACTAATTAGTATAAATTTTAGCGCTGCACTGCCAAACATTTCAAAACTTAGAGCGGTTAACGATAAGTTTGCCACAATTAAAAAAAAAAATTGTGGTACCTCAGTTTATTGATGTTATGTTTGTAGTAATTCACTTAAATGAGAGCAGAGTTCCTATTACAGTATATACATTGTATATATATATATATATACATTACAGTGACCTCTTGATTTACACAGATTTAATTTGCACATTTTTTAAAAAACACAATTAATAAATTAATACCTATTTTTAAAATAGCACAAAGTTTTTGAAATAGCACGGATTTTAAAAGAGCGCCATTGCGCCAGGTAGCTAGTTCAGTACCTCATTGCTTTCCTACTTTAAGAAAAAAGGAAAAGTACTTCATCTGAACCTCAACCATGGACATCTGACATCTCGAAAGCTTCCACTACTCCTCCCCATCACCTGCTGTCATCGGATTCAGATGACTCCCTCCCCCAGTAACCCTCCACCTCTCCTCCACCACCACTAGTTCCCACACGCCATCCTACCCATCAATCAATAAAATGTTAGCAAAAATTTTCATTTAAAATCTATTTTCTTACTACTGTATTACAGGTATTAGGTTTGCTTCTATTATTGTATTACTATTGTTATTATAATATTGTAAATATAAAGTACTGTATATTGAAGGAAATAGATAAACAAAAACAATTTTTTAGGAAGCCTTTCCCTAGCCTTTTCCTTTAGTATTTCTTATGAGATAATTAAGATTGATTTACACATTTTTACATATTCTTAACTACCGTGTGAGCCAAAATATATATATATATATATATATATATATATATATATATATATATATATATATATATATATATATATATATATATATATATATATATATATATATATATATATATATATATATATATATATATATAATTTAACAGAGGTTTAGCATACACGGATTGCCCGGGAGGAATATTCTGTACAGTACATTGAAGTAATTGAAGTACATTCAAATCGCGCGCCATTCAACTCGTTCGCGGCACCGAACACGGGACACCGCCCGCTCCCGCAACCTCACACACACACACGCAAAGCTCTCCCTCACTCAGTCAGTCTCGCTGTAACCACGCTTGTGTTGACATCAGAATTGTAGTTGCAAAAATATTACATTTCCGTGAATGTATTATATCAAGCACAGTATGAATAGAATATCACTAACATAACAGTATTTTAACCGAAAACTATTAAAAAAACGAGTAACATATCTTGAACATTGGAAGGTTAGGTAAAGTACTGCATAAATATTATTTTAATACGTAAATAAGCTGGAGCGAATATTAGCGTGTTCACTATACATAACAGTACCTTTACAGTTTAAAAGAAATTTGAACAAAATCTATTGTTTGAATGCCTAAGCATTTTCAGGGTGACAAACTCGTTTTTTCCAGGAAAGTGAAAAATATTGTGCATGTAAATGTGATTTAAAACATACAAGCACAGGATAATTGACGGTTTAATTATTCTGAACGCATATTATTAGTTCGAGGGTTATTAATTAACACTAATTAACAGAATTTGAAAATTTTGAACCCAGATCTATTACCAGTAGAGTACAGGTACAGTATAGGCCATGGAACATATTGTTAGTTTTCACATCTAAAGATTTGTTCATGCTAACCAAATAAAGTTTATGTGAACTTTCTTGGAAATGTAAACCTTGCATGAGTATTCCCAGCTAAATCAGGGGTGTGTTTAATATGGTAGAAAATACAGTAGTTAAGACAGAATGATATAGATAAATTGATTGAAAGCTAGAGACAGAAAGATAAATCATCATCATCACCATAATTTTATAGCCATTTTCCACACTTGTGTGGGTTAGCTGCAGTTTCTTTTGTCAAGTTCTTAATTCTAATGTCATTTCTTTCAACCTCTCCCCATGTCACTCATAGCCTGCCCCTGGCTCTCCTCCCTTCCACATTTACTCTTGCATCATTTGAGCCAACTGGTATTATCCATTATCTCCACTTGCTTGAACCATCTCAGCCTGCCTCTATGCAAAACCTCACCAACACTCTCAATACCCAGCTGCCCTCTCAGTTCTGAACAGGGTTTCTTATCTTTTAGTGTAAGAGTTTCATGTCAGCTAACTCAAGACTGCATATGTCATCCTCTTCAACTGCTCATGCTTCACTGCTATATAACATCACACTTCTCTCACACCAGCTGTAAACATTCATCCTTTCATGCTGACCATAGAAGCAGCAACTTCCTAAACTTTCTACAGCCATTTCTGACTCTTTCAGCTGAGCACCCCCGCCAGCACTGGTCACATCACCCAAGCAGCAGAACTCATTGACACAGTCCTGAACACATCCTCAAAGTAGAGTATCTCCAGCCTTGCTAAGGATTCATGATTATCTGCACATACAGAACACTAAAAGTCAGCAACATCCAGCAGTCTGCCATCTACTCCACTGCACCTCTTGTGTACCCATCTTCCACACTCACTGCACATTACTGAGTTACTGCTAACACCTTTCTTAAAGACAGGCAGATGACAGATAAGATAGCCTTACTAACACAGAGGTATTGAAAGGGTGATAGAAAGATATATAGACATAGATACATAGAGATAAACAGTTAGATAGTTATAAATAAACTGAGATATGGACAGATACAGTATGCAGAAAGACAGATCCACACACCTGTGATAGCAGTTTCTCCATGCATCAGTTGTTAGTTAAGGTTTAGTCTTTAACTCACCTGTAACAAAAAAAAAAAAAGACATTTAATATACAGAACAATTAATGATTGAATTATGTACAGTAGTACCCCGATTTATGCGTCAATTGAGCCCACAGGGTACCGCGGAAAGTGAAAACCGCGTAAAGTGAACAACAGAACATATGGGATTAATTCCAATAGAGACTGGCCCGACCCCCAAACTCCACTTTTTCCGACACAATACCTATGTTGTAGTGAAATTACATCTTAATTTTATGATGGTATGCTCACACAATTAATATTTAAGAGAAATACAGTCACCAGGTTAATGTTCATTCAAATAATGGACTCAAGTCCCCCCCTCCCCCTCTTCCCAGCTCACTAGCTCCTACCTCTCTGAGAAATGTTTGGGTGAAAACACTAGATTTTAACGTTTAGTAATAAATAATACCTCAGACTAAAGTTAGGATAATATAATTGACATTTCTGGGTTCCGTGCAGGTCAGGGAATATTTTGAATGTAAACTTCATATATTTTGCACAAACGATAAAATATTTGCTTTGTGTAAACCAAATTATTACATTAGATCTAAAATTTGTATGTCTAATGCAAAATCCATGATGTGTATATTCAAAATGATCATCATATTGTAAGAATTCCAGCAATGTAAATTATATTCTGGCCGGGTAATTTGTATGAATTTTATGAGCTAAAAAAAAAAAAAAATTATACTTCACCGCGTATATGAGTAGATGCACCGCGGAAAGTGAAAGTCTGGTTCTGGCAAGGTACCGCGTAAATGAGAAATGAGAAATCGCGGAAAGTGAAACCGTGTAAAGCGGGGTAATACTGTACAGTACATGAATTAATAGTCATCCAGTACAATAGTTGTTTGTTTTATGCAAGTTTGGTTTATGTGAACTTTCTTGGATCTGTAAACCTTGCATTCATGTCAAACTCAGTAATTTTTGTCATAAATATTCCCAGCTAAATTATGGGTATGATTACTATGATGGGCCATACAGCAGTTAAGACAGAAAGATGGATAGATATACTAGATTGACTAACTGAAAGAAAATATACAAATACTGTACTGTAAACAGATACAGTACTGTACTGTAATTTAATATATATAGACTATTTAAAACATCATATATGTTATGTCTGTAAGTTTTAAATCACCCTTATATACATTTTCGCAGCAATAAACCCTATCTTTAAGCTTTAAACACGTTAGTTTTCAGTTTCCGGAGAAAAGGCGTTTTATAGTGAAAATGACGACTGCCCAATTACTCATCGTTTCGGCACATGAGGTAAAAATTTGGATTTTGTTCAGAATTCATACAAAGGTTCACTTTATGTTCTGGTTAAGGATCTGGGTCCAGAGTTTTAAAATTAAAGTACTGTAATAAGTGTTAACTAATGACCTTTGAAATAATTTAATACTGTACATAATGTACTGACAGATAGAGATAAACCATATTATGTAGATACTGTTTTGATAAATTGATTAACAGACATGGATAAAACAGATAGATGGACTGACTGAGATAGGTACTGACAGACTAATCAACAGATACAGTGGGGAATGCTATAACGAATGGATTCTACTACGAATATTCCTATAATGAACAGTTTTACCTATAAAATTGAGAATGCTATAACGAATGAAACTCCTACAATGAACATTATTTTTATTTATTTATTTTATTTTTTTTACTAATTTATTGTTTTTTTATTACAAGTACTAATGATATTCGTTATTTCAGGGGTTTAGATGCATATTTATGCACTTTTTTTACAATTTTTACAATTTTATATTACATTTTTCAGTGTTAAGTGGTTGTATTTGGGGGCCTGGAACGGATTACTCCTATAACGAACGAATGTTATAACGAACAAGGTTCTAGAACCAATTAGATTCGTTATAGCATACCCCACCTGCATACAGTATAGACAGGTAAATACAGTATAGGGATATATAGTTACTGTACTGTATATACGAATAAAATTATATAATCAAATCGATATACAATAAGACACATACAATGAGACAGACACACATAAGCAAACAGATAAGATAGAAAGATATAAAAAGGCAGACAGACAGATACACAGTTATGACAAATTGTCTTGAGAGTTTGAGAGGCACAAAGATTTACTCTATAGGGTACGAGAGCTGCTCCTATAATTTACCTTGCCAGGAGTGTTGATGGTAGTGGTGGTGGTGGAACTGTCAACAATTCAGTTTAAAGTCAGCTGGTATAAATTGTTGTCTTCTGTAATTAACATCCACCACACAGTCAGTTGTCATACGTGTGTTCTTAAGGCTTCTGCTTTTTGCTTCAGTTTTCATTTTCATCTAAACTTATCTGTAACGAACAAAAAAGAATAATAATATACACAACTGTTTATGAATAAAATGTGTCCATGAATTAAGAGTCATCCAGTACAATAGTTGTTTGTTATATGTAAGTTTGGTTTATGTGAACTTTCTTGGGACTGTAAACCTTGCATGCTTGAGAAACTTAGTAATTTTTTCCTCAATATTCCAAGCTAAATTAGTGGTACAGACATACAGTAAATTTAATATTGTAGCAAATACAGTACTGTAGTCAAGACAGATACTTGTAGATAGATATATATAAAATGACTAATAGACACAGGAATAGAGAGGGAAATATGTAAATAAATAGATACTGACAGATACTGTATACGTAAGATATATAAAGTACAGTAGATAGATAGATAGTTATAGATAAATTGACCGATATGGATAGATATGCAGAAAGAAACATACCGGTAATGACAGACAGAGAAACACGTATAAGTAGATAGATAGACAGATATAGATAAAAAAGAGGACAGAAAGATAGATACAAAGACAGAATAACAAATGGCTAACAGGAATAGTCATGACAAATACAAAGATTTCCTGTACAGTAGTGTCGGGATATATCACGAGATGGGGTCCAACGATGTTCGCTATATACCAAATCATGATATATAATTACATGTAATCAATGGGGAAAATAGGGTTAGGTTCTGGAGGCCGAAAAGAGTGACTAAACTTGACTTAACGAGTTCATTTTCTGTCTAACTAAAGCACCAATGAACACTAGACACGGGAACAACAGGATATTTCAATATCAATATCAAGGAACACCAGACTCGGCAGCTGACGCACCATCCTGGGAACACCAGACTCGGCAGTAGACGCCACACTGTCACCCTCACTTGACAATCCCACACCTCCATAAACGAACACCAAAAATATTAGTTACAGTATTAAATCTTTTCCATTTAAGCTTTCCATTATCTTTACTTCACTTTTCATGTCACTAGCAACCCATTTACACTCACTTTAGAAATTGGAATCTGCACCAGACTCAGCAGTTGACGCGTCATCCCAAGAACAACAGCCGACACACTGCCACCCTCACTTAACGATCATAAACGAACACACCAAAAATATTAGTTACAGTATTAAATCTTTTCTATTAAGCTTTCCATTATCTTCACTTCACATCACTAGAAACCCATTTACGCTCACCTTAGAAGTCGTAATCTGCAGCAGTCGGCTGCTTTCTCGTCACTCACTCAGAAAGACTGAGCAGGCGAGCGTGATTGCGTGAGTGAGCAGCCACTGTGGCGCCTCTGGTGAGCAAATAACGCATTTGTTTGCCATGGCGGTACATTTGAAATATTTCCTGCCCGATTTCCCTCGTGAAAAAAAAAAAATTATTGCTATAATATAAGAAAATGTTGACAATTTTGGTGGCCGCGATATAAAAAAATCATTACCCGGTATATAAATTCGCGATATATCCCGACCCTACTGTATAAGGTATGAGAGCTGCCCCTACAATTTACCTTGTCATAGATGGTAGTGGTGGTAGTGGGCACTTTCAGCTGTTTATAAACCTCAATTAAGTCACCATTTGCCCGCCTTAAGTACTGTATTAGCTAGGCAATTGCAGGCATTCTAATCCTTCTAGGTAACCGAGGTGCCATAGTGGAGGCATCAGTCTGGTGGCCCTCCTTTGGAAATTTCAATAAACTGACAGTTTCTACCATACAGGTATCTCGGGGACCAGACGGTTTGACAGTATTCATCTCCTGTGATAAACGAAAATTTATATTAATATAAAGAGCATGGGGGGTTAAGTTAGGTTGAGTTAGGTTTGCAATAAAGTGTTTAATCACCAAGTGAAATAAGTTAGGGTGTCTAATCTTTATGTTAGCCATTCTTTCATCTGAGTTCCTAACTTTCTGCTTCATTTACACGCAATTGCAGGGTCTCAATTGTTTCTCTTACCATTGACAACACAACATACATACAGTATATCATTTCTCACTTTTGATCTTTTTTTTCAATTTTGTATTTATAGTTCTTTATTATTAATATTATTATTATGGGCATGGAGAGTAACTGACAGAATATGATTTGGAAGAGCTGGTAAAAAGTGCTGAGGAATATGAAGCAAAAGAAATTATGGTATAGCAACAAAAAGGACGGAGCCTTAAGACGGTCCGAGAAGGCAACCAAGTACCGTTTCCCTACCAGTTTATGTTAAAAAACCTCAAAGCCAAGAGGAAACAACTACCAATCATGACCTTTTTCAAGAAAGAACCAGCCGCTCAACCAGCTGATTCGTCAACTCCTAGGGACTCGTGTCCATAAGTAAAACTTTACCCCCAAAAGGTTAGGTTTATATGTTTTTCTAGTGTTTTTGGGTGTGTTTTGTATTCACTGGGCCAAGAACTTTATCGGAAAAAGCTTGTTTCTCTCTCGCACCCAAAACTCCGGTTTCCAACAGGATCCCCTATCTTGTTGGGGGTAGAAGGGGGCAATAACTAAAAAACAGGCAATTTCCGACGGAAATCAAGGTCAGAACCAATCAAAACACACAAAAAACACTAGAGAAACATAGTTTTGACTTTCTAACAGAGTTGTGTGAACTACTATAAATTTACCGACAATTCTAAGATATTTTTCAAACTACAAATTCACCAAAGTTTCTCTTGCAAATAACCATATACAGTACAGTCAACCCTCGCTTTACGCGGTCCCACTTTACGCGTTTCCACGTTTACGCGGTACCCTGCCGAACATGGAATGCTCACTTTCCGCGGTGTGTGTACCCTTTTAAGCGGAGAGCGGCACGAGCAGGGTGCGCACAAGGTCGCCCAGTCATCAAAACATTACCGAGTTCTTCACCCACCACCCACCACAGCCGGCCCAAGTCAGTGATAATGATAGTGAGGATATGGACTTATATGGACTTTGAGGGGTTTGACAAAGAGGCCCTGCAAGCCTCTGTGGTGGATAGTGATACAATTGATACAAGTGATACAGGTGAGGGCCAATAATCTGCCCTCTGCCTCGGAACCAACCCCCCATCCCCGTGTGCCCAGCCATCTTTTCTACTAATGTAAGTGTTAAAAAACCTAATATTATTGATATTTCTCTTAATTATTAATTGCGTGTGCATCATAAAATTAATAAGTTATTTTTACTACAACGTAGGTATTGTGTCTGAAAAAGTGGAGTTTGGGGGTCGGCCCGGTCTCTATTTCAATTAATCCCATATGTTATGTTGTTCACTTTACGCGTTTCTCACTTTAAGCATAAGCTATAATAAGATAGCCTTATTCTGGGCAAATTCAAATAAATTGGTTAATGATAGTATAGCCTTGCCTAACCTAAATGGCAAATCACTTCTCTTAAATTACTCATTTAGCCTAGAACATGGTGTTTTCCTTTCAATGTTTGGGTCATATGGTCTGAATTGTCTTCAAGTTCATACAAAAACAACAATTTAAAACCTGAAAATATATCGGATTAGCCGTAAATTTTCTTAAATTAATACTCTACCCTCTGATACTGTTCATGGAAAGTCTGGAACTAGGCCTAAGGTAGCTGCTAGACAAAGTGTCTTACTGACAGCCTGACACTCACCAAAAAAATCATGTACACATTCTCTAACCTAACCTAACCTAACCTAACCTAACCTAACCTAACCTAACCTAACCTAACCTAACCTAACCTAACCTAACATAACATAGCCTAGCCAAACCAAACCTATAACCTATTGGTATAATTTCTTATTTAAATATTCCCCATGTTCTAACTAAATTAAGTAGGCCCCACGTTTAAACATTTATTGGCCTAAGAATGAAAAAGGAGTTTTATATGCCCCTATTAATCAAGTTAATTGTAATCCATATTTTACGCATATCATTTAATTTTGGCTAACCTTTAGAGCCTTTCATGTTATCATAAGCCATATACTGTACATAATAAAATAGGGCAAGACTATTGGTTGCATATTAGAGAAACAAGGCAAAGTCTAGGCAGAAATGTTCACTTGACCTCATATTTGGCTTTCATTACTGAGGGACATTTACGGCTATACAACATTAATAAGGTCTATTTATAAGTTTACTCAGTCATAAAAAATACTTTATAATTAGTAAGAAGACAAAAGATTCATCTCTTCCAAACTGCGACAAATACAAACACTCAAAGCATCTTATTATTTCAACAAAAAGTCTTATCTAACAACCTCACCTGGCTGTCCCTAACTACCACTGGGCAGGGTCTGTACACCTGCCCTTCTTCTCCATGCACAACATCCTGCCTCTTCTCTTCCTCGTCCTTCCTCTTCTCATTCCTCGTCCTTCCTCTTCTCTTCCTCGTCCTTCCTCTTCTCTTTCCTCGTCCTTCCTCTTCTCTTCCTCTCCAGCTTCATCCAACACCTGGTAGGAGTTACTGCACTATTTATCGTTTTGGCTCAGCACTTCTTGGGACCCAATGAGCCCAACATTTTAGTCCTCTTTCCTATCTTTATGTATATACAGTAGTGTTTGGTTGAGGCTCAGGTGTCCCCGGGCCAGGTGTGTTGAGGCTCAGGTGTCCCGGGCCAGCAGGTGTGTGGCGGGAGGCGAGGCTCAGGTGTCCCGGGCCAGGTGTGTTGTGGGAGATTCCTGAGGCGGGAGAGGCAGGTAGTGGTGTGGTCCTTTAAATGTGTTGTTCTTCTTATAAACCCTTTAATTAAACACCCAAAAGGTAAATATTATAATAGAAGATACAATAATGTGTTAATATGTGACTTTTATGGCTATATTAGGTAGAATTATGGGAAATATTATGTACAAGATGGATTTAGTTGATATTAAACTTAATTTATCTTGTTAGATGTTCATATTAACATAGTTACTTTTAAATGGTGTTGATATTTATTAAGGGTAATTTTAGGTGAGATAAATGAGCTTTAGTTATATATTTAGGATTGTTAAGGGTTGAAGTACCTATACTTGTTGCTATGGTAACCTTGTGATTATGTCTTATTTTTGGTGAGTGTTTATTGATTTATATATACAGTAGACAATATAGGTGCCATTAGGGATGTTGTTGTTTTATCATATTGTGTTATTAAACCATTGCCAGTTGTACTTACCTTATTGTGTATTGATCCACAGTTCAGGGTCAGGTGTGTGATGAGGATCAGGTAGATACTATTTTCTTCATGGTGGAGAAGTTTAATGTTGTATCCGTCATTAGGCTGTTATATTCTAAGACTTTTAAGTTGATTATAGCTTAACTAATTGGTTAAAGCAGGTAAAGATGAGTATAATTAGATATCATGAAGTTTAAAAACCTCCGCTTATTTCACGTGATGATAAACTCCCTAATGCTATGTTAGGTTGGGATTGTGTCAGACTCGTGGGGAGAAGCCACTATCGCGAAAATTGTTAAAGGAAACTTTTTCTTACCTCAAGGAAAGAAATAAATGGTTGGAGGAATGCTAAATTTCCTGTTTTGGGTTTTCCAATGTTTACATTCTTAACATGCTTCCTGCAAATCAGGGTACATATACTGTGCTGGGTAAAGGTTCATTTTATACCATAATGGGAATCTGAAGAGGGAAAAATATTTTTCTTATGTTTTTCATTGTGATTTTAATGAAAACAACCTTTATTTCTTTTGGTAATAATTTGCACAAAGTGGGCAGGGCTTTTGAAGATGAAGTTAAATGTGGGGTTAAAAAAAAACTTTAAAAATCTTACCTAGCCTTTCCTTACCTACGGCAGAGGAAAATGGAATCTCTTCTTCTTTTTGCATGTTTCTGATGTTTAGGTCCTGATAAAGGCATAATACAACTGAATATATCTCGATTAAATTTTTGCTCATGCATAAAGGAACCTAGGTGTGTATGTTGACAATGAGCTGAAGTTCTCGGGCCATTGCGAGAAGAAGGTAAATCAGGCAAATAATTTATTGGGTCTTATAAGGTCGTTCAGATATCTAGATGGTCCGACCCTCGTAACGATCTTCAAGAGTGAAGTGCTTCCCCATCTGGAGTACTGTCACCCCGTCTGGTCCCCGAGATATGCTAGGGACTGTCAGTTGGTTGAAAATGTTCAAAGGAGGGCCACCAGACTGGTGCCTGCACTTCGGCACCTCAGCTACCCTGAGAGATTGGAGCGCCTGAACTTGCCTAGCTTATACTACAGACGGACAAGAGGGGACCTAATTAAGGTGTATAAGCATCTCAAGGGGCACTACTCAGTCGAGTGTCCTTACTTGGAGCTGGCGGACGCCCACCCCACAAGGGGTCACAGCTCAAGATTTAAGAAGCCGCAAGTCCAGAAAACTGTGAGGGCAAACTTTTTCGGAGTGAGAGTTGTGAACTCTTGGAACAATCTACCAGAAAGTGTTGTGACGGCACCAAGTGTGAGCTCTTTCAAGACAAGACTTGACCAACACTGGAGCAGGTTCAGGTACATTCAGGAGCCGGTGCATGCCCAGTACTTGCCAACAGTGTGTAACAGAGACTTGACCGATCACCCAAGCGGCTAACGAGCCGATCAGTGGTGAAGAGGATAAAAGGAAGTAAAAGAGATCTGAACTGTCCTCTAATTGGTCAAAGCAGATCATGTGAAGTTCACTTGAAAGAGATTAAAATATACAGTATTATCTTGTCCAGATCATGCACTGAGAGATGAATGATGCACTTCATAGACATTAACACTTCCATTTAATAAACATGAAAAACCAGCAGCAGCTTATATTATTTATACAATACAGTACAGTAGTATAACAGTAACCCTCTCACTACCAGGCTGAGTAAGGAATAAACATTTCTTCACACGCCGCTTCTTATTAATAACAATTGTTTCTTATTTGTGTATTCAGGATTTGTTATTATCTGTGTGAATAAAACACATCATTCCTCTTTCAATAAATGTCTAAATTTATCTGTGTTTCAGCAGTAAGAGAGAGAGGAGTGTGAGTGAAAATGAGGGAAAGAGAAAAACCACAAAAGCCATCAGGTGGTGCAGACAAAACAAGAACCAAAACATCTACAAGCAAAACATCCACATCAAGGACCCCAGGGGCATCCACATCAAGGACCCCAGGGGCATCCACATCAAGTACCCCAGGGGCATCCACATCTAGAGCCCCAGGAGCATCCACATCAAGAACCCCAGGGGCATCCACATCAAGAACCCCAGGGGCATCCACATCAAAAACCCCAGCGGCATCCACATCCAAAGCATCATCATCAACCAAAGGTGTAACATCTAAAGCACCATCACCATCAACCAAATCTTCTAAGACACCTGCACCTAAAACATCATCATCATCCAAAACATCATCGTCAACACCAAAATCATCATCAACACCCAAATCATCATCATCGACCTCCAAAACATCCTCATCAACCCCTAAATCATCATCAACACCCAAATCATCATCATCTACCTCGAAAGCTCCATCCACCTCATCCAGAACAAAGCCAGCAGTGTCCTCTACCTCCAGAACTCGTCCAGCGCTAGAGAAACCAACACCCGGCAGCACCAAGACAACAGCCAGTAGCAGCAAGTAAGACCCACTACATCACAAGATGACTATGCAGTATTTTATCAGTTGAAATTCCCTGGATTATTTGTTATTGTTACATCTAACATAAACTGCCCTTGCTATTAATAAATATTTACATGAACATTATTAAGTAAAGATAAATTGAATTTTAATTTCTTGAAGGTCTGATCGCAAAAGTTCAAACACAGAAGACAGAAGTAGAGGACGACGGGAGCCAAGCAGAGGACGACGGGAACCAAGCAGAGGAGAAAAACTAGAAAATGGTGTAGTGAAGGGGGAGAAACTGTCCTCCAGGCCCCCTAGAGGGGACAAAGCCTCGTCCAGTCAGAGTAGAGGGAAGAAACCAGTGAGTGATCGTGCTGACAAACGGGAGAGCAACACTTCTGGTGACCGAGAGAGAGGGAAGGAAAGGTCCAGTAACTCCAAGAGCCGCAGAGGTAAAGAGTTCTCACTGTTGAGGTACTATACAGGTGGGAGGAATTTTTATTTTTGCTTCGTTGACATTTACAAGTAGAACTGTTAGAAATTAAACATTTAAGTGACATTTAATGAATATTAAATTAAATTTTATCATATTTCAAGCATTTTTATTATCTCAGTTCCTTGTCGTGCTTTATAGCAAGAAATAGCAGATTGAACATTCTGTCAATTATGTTTTTGCTTCATATTGGGTGAAACTTTAGAATTAGAATAAATGTTTACAGAATTTAAAATCAGAATAAACATTTACAATATTGTATTTAGAATTAATTAAATGTTTACAATACAGTATTTAGAATCAAATAAATTTTCAAAAAATTTAGAATCCATAAATGTTTAGAGAGTTTTGACATGGTGTATATACTTTTAGTTTAAGAATACCTCAATAATGTACATGTTCTTCTGTTTATTTTTAGGGGAAGGTTCATCTAGTCAAAGAGACCCTGGGACTGGGAGAAGTACAGGCAGCAATGAACAAGACAGCAAAGAAAGGACCTCGTCTGATAAAACTCGTCCTGAGAGAGACAAAGACAACAGGAAGTCGAATAAAGAAAAGAAGAACAAGGAGGAGCGGAGGAAAGAGAAGAACTCTGGGTCAAAGGGGAAGTCGTCTGAGAAAGAGCGCAGCATTGTGCCAAATAATGAGGATTTTGATGTTGAAGCTCAAGGTAATTATTATTATAATAATTGGTAGTAGTAGCAGCAGCACTATAAGTTTGTCATATTATACTGCCAACAAAGTTTTTTATAGTCATCATCATCATCGGCACATTTGTAAACATTCCTCTATAGACACAGATGAGTAGTTCACACCTTTAGTTTGAGATAATTTTAATCACCTTCAGTTGAATAAGGAAAATGTAAATTAGAATTTTGTTATAGAGTATGTTAGAGAGTATTAATTAACCTGATCTAACCTTACAGACTCAGGTGTGGAGGGGGTGAGTATAATACCGGCAACTATGAGTGAGCTGCCCAGTAAGCAGGAGGTGGAGGTCGTGGAACACACCCAGAACAGCCTCGAGACAATGGAGTCAGGTAAAGTATGCAGTGCTGTGGCTTTACAGTTCTTGTTTTTATGGTGAAAATATTAATATATAGTCCAGTGAAACCTCTATATAACAGACAGCAATCTAACGGACTAACCTCTTGCATAAAGTACGTTAAATATTTATATCTGTTTTAATACTTTGGTATCCTTGTTAGTGTGGCATGTCCTTAACCCCTTGTGTTGAATCAAATCATCTGATGTTAACCAATTATATTATTAAAAGTGGTCTCGTATACTGAAGGGGTTAAAGATATAATTTCTTATTCTTCCACATCATAACATCTCTGCTGCCATGTTAAATTAATCGGTACATATATTTTAAGAGGAAGTTATTAAAATTTGTTGTATTCTTAAGACATATTAGTGTTGTAACATCTTTCTACTTCGTGATGTTGTAATTTCCACAAAACATTGCACTTCCAACTAGTCTTTGGAATATTTTGGGTTATTTTTCCAATATACAGGTATTTAAAGATTTCATCTCACAGGAGGGGTGATTTTTGTGAGGATTATGAAGATTTTGTACAATACAGGATATTCTGTATCAATGGAATAAATACGGATAGGGTTGTTATTATTAAGGATTAAGAAATAAAATACACGTACAATAATTTATTAATTTATCGCTTGAAAAATGTTATTTCCTAACCCTAACCAGATTCAACTCTGACCCTAACTCCCTGTGTAAATAAATATGATAATTTCACTTATTCAAAATCCCAACTAAACTCTACAGCATTTACAGTAGTTCCATTTCTACAGAACACCCTGTAGTTCATGCAGCTGGGAATTGGATAGAACAGAGTTTACTGTAGATATGTACAGACAGTTAACCTGAAACACTGATCTCACATATCCCCGTTGGAAGGAGTAATGTTAAACCGTCATCACGTGAAAGAAACTTGGAGAATGAACAACAATGAAGCCATGAGAGTGATACTTCCAGGATGATTTTACTGTTTTCAATCATCTTTATATTTTGTATTTATAATTGTTCATTCCAGGAATCTCGCTGTCATCACCTCGAGATTTAAGCGGAGATGAAGTCGACATCGAGGAATCGATATCATCAAAAATGGTGGAAGTGGACGAGGTGGAGGAGGAAGAGATGAACAAATACACGGCAGGGATGGAGGATGAAAGTCTCTCACTCCGCGACACAGAGGCAGCCTACCCGGTCACCTCTCAGTATGATAACCCTGAAGCTGTGTCCTATGTGAAGCCCCCGTATGAGGAGGTCACTGAGGAGAATGATGCTGATGATTATGACTATGAGGAGGATTTTGAGGTTAGATACAACAGTTTATTGATATATATATATAAGGACATACAATACAGTACTATACATGTCTGTGCCTTCTGTGTATAAAAATGGTTGTATGAAGATGCATTATGAAAGAGAATTTTCAAAGTCAGGCAAACTGCTAAAGTTGTGAGTGACTGAGAGGAGAAACAGCTGTTATTGTAAATGAGGTTTGTAATAAGTGTGATGATGCCTTGTGGTTATTATGTACACGAGGAACTTTTGTGTATTGATCATTGATTGTTGTTTGGCCTGGCAGAAGATATTTGTATTTCTTGTAAAACTATTTTTATGAGGATATCCACAATATGTATGTCCTTACCCAACCCCCTGTCTACCCAGCTATAAATAGGTACTTGACTTTATAGTTGGGGAAGAGAAGGCAATGAAGTGCATTTTTTTTTTTTAAACAAAAACCTAAAGACATTTTTGGAGCATTTGTACCTAAACAATACTGTATACATCATTCCAGGACTATGAATCAGACTTTGAAGATGACAGTGGTTCAGTGGAAGAAGATGAAGAAGAGGACTCTGAAGATGACTCTGAAGATGAGGACAGTGAAATAGAGCCCGTTGATCCCGAGGTAGCTGCTGTCCTCCAGGCGTTACAGAAGGAGAATAACTTTGAGCAATACTTACAGCGAACCAACAGCATAGATATTCCGGACCAAGAGGAAGAACATTCATTGACCCCTAAATCAGTGACTGTGATGGGTATGTTGAACCTTGTGAAGTTTGTGAGGTTGATTTTTATCTTCATTCACTGGAAAATCCATCTCTTGCATAAAAATTGAGGAACTATTGTATTACAGTATATAACTTCTCAAATAATTCAAATTTTTTTTAGTTTATTGCAGTCATCAGTAAAGTAGAGGAACATATATTGCACAATCTTTCAAGGCATTTATTTCATCATATAACAATTAACTGTACTAAATTATTCATATATTGTACTTCTTACAGTCAATCATTATAGAACTTAATTGTATAAAACCTATAGTCTCAAATGGTCTCTCAGTCATTAGTTAATATACCATGAACAGTCTGTCCATGATAGTGGGTTATTATGCCATCATACAGGGTACAGGTCTAGTGTTTCATTATTACTGTACACATCTCATTTCTACCAGTTGTTTTTAAAGTGTAGTTGTTTCTCATCTCCACATTTGTCTTTCTAGTTTATTGCTCGGTTTTGCCCACAGCTGTATGTCTTTCTCACTTAGTCTCACTCATATATACCCATATTATTGGCCAGTGATTCAGTATGTATTGTTTTTATATAGTATACAGTATATTGTGTATTATATTATTCATACTATCATTTTGTCAACTGCTTCTTGCCCTAATCCTCCTCTCCCTTACATATAATCATCCTTTAGCTTCTTGTACGCTGTGAACTAAACTGTTATACCGACCCAAGCTTCACATTAGATACTGTACAGTGAAACCTTCTTATAATGGACGCATCTCTCCATGTAATTCATTAGAGGGGGTTTCACATCTAACGAACCCTCGATAGAGTGGATTTTCCTTTCTGTACAGTCCGTTATATAGAGGTTCCACTGTACTATACTGATTAAGATGCTCACTTCATCCCCACATTGAACTTTTGTGTCTCAGCAGAACCCATACCTGAACACTATGAACAGCCAAAGTCTCAAGAAGAACCTCGCACCCCAGTTCAAAGACCAAAGACTTCTCGTACTTTTGTCAACTTTGCTGGAGCGCGGAGGAAACAAATGGCAGCGCAGGTTTGTCTTACGTCTTTGTGTTTAAGCAGTTATTATTCATTATGAGTGATCTAATAATGAAGTCCACCTTTTATAGAAGGCTTAGGGTAAACATATGTAATAAGCATGATTTATTTAAGCAATCCCTTCACAAAAATCACTGAAATAGATAAGGAGTCACAATTGTCAGCAAATACCCAAATGATATTACAGCATGGTTCAGTTTTGTAGTTGTGTGCCCTGTAAAATAGTTGTGAATTACTGTACTGTTATTGTATTTAATTTCAATCAATCTCATGATAATCACCACTAATTTTGTCTTTTATAATCCTATGTTATGAATCAAATGCTAATCTTATCTCATCTTCATCCAAGTTAATGTCTATTCATTACTGTTATAATTATATACAAATTCCTTTTTTTTTTTGCAGTTGTCATCCAAAATGATGAGTCGAGGACAGATTCTACTGAACATGATACAACTAGATGCTGTCAGTATGGATCTCCTCACACTGTCTCCAATATCTTATGAGGCTTATATATCAAGTTTTGGTCACTCTAACAGACAACAGGTGTGTGAATATCCCCCCTGTACCCTTCACTGTAGAAAAAGGGTTTGCTTATGTACCACCAATGTTAAATAGATAGGTATACAGAGATCATCATCTTTATTATCACCATCACCATCCATCATTATCACCATCATCAGCATCATTGTCTTTCATCATTCTCCGTTCTTGTGTGGGTTAGCTAGATGTACAGAGAACCCCACAGCAAATAACCAAAGGTGCTAATGGCAAAGCTGTGAATCATTGTTTAATACACTGTATCTTTCAGGTTAATGTACAAACCAACGATGACGCTCTGTGTGAGGAAGTACAAACAGACGAAATAACAACACGCGACAAGTGGACACAGAAGCCTGTACATATCAGCATAGGGAAGGATGAGCAGTTACCAGGACCAGAGGATTACATGGGAGTGGGTGGGGACATGGATCTTGTTGACTATTCCAGTGCATCAAGCAAGAGCTCCAACACTGCCAGACTCACTTCATTCCTCAGTTCATCATCACAGGTAGCTAAGGATGACATGTTCCACCAATATTTACTTGAGTCAATAATCAATCATTTACTTTGTATACATTTAGACTTTATCTATAATATATCATTTTACCGATCTCTAACTCCAGTTTGGGATGGAACAATGTGTATGAAATCTGGGGCATTACATAATCAGTGACCTTTTTAAAGTATAAGTCAAGCCCATTCTGTAAATAGGTACTAGGTGGGTCATACTGCTAATTTGTGTTGCAGGTAATGTTGGCAATATTAGAGGAGGAGCTAGTGTGGGACATAGCAGAAGCAGACAACTTCGACCCATCGTCCAGCTCAGGAGAAGGTCTTGGCTTCTCACATCCTCCTATACCTCTGGGTGCTAGTATTAACTCTCTTCTGGAGGGACGACCAATACCTTTCGCACAATTCTGTGCCGTGGAATCAACGGTGCTTCTCTCAGGGCATGGCTACAGAGTTTTGGTGAGACTAAAGTATAGTACTGTGTGTATGCTGAAATGGGCTTATCATTGGTGCAATTAACATCATCATGGTAAAAGTGTATGAATGATGAAGTGAATTTATCAGTGGTACAATAAAAAACACCATTATGATAAAAGATAAATGCAGCAGATGCTAAAATATTTCTCAATATTTTATTCTGATTTTAATTAACTTGACAGGAAAAAGAAGAAGAAGATGATGGAGAATTAAGCGAAAGTGGACTTGTGTGTATATGGACGGTGCAGGAACCATCCCGGCCACAACACCTGTTATGTTGTCGTGCTGCACCTACAGCTGCCACATTCAGTCCGTCTCGGCCATCCCTGGTGTTAACTGGGCTAGAAGATGGTTCCCTGGCAGCCTGGGACCTGAGAGAACCACTCCAGTTCCACACACTCAAAACTGACATTGATGGTGTAAACTGGAGAGTCAGAGTACCTTCTTTTGTCACTGGTCAGTAAATTCAAGTTTTATTATTATGGTTTTGTATTTCTGTTTTATATTATTTTGTTACAAAGTTTAATGACTTTATCTTGAGCTTATCACCTCACCCAGGAAAGTATTGAAGTCATGTTTGTTTTTAGTTATGCTGACCAGTTTTTCTCATTTGGTGAAATTTTATTCCAATATTTTGTATAATGTACAGTGTTGAAGGTTTTAGATCATGTATTATGTTGGGTTTTAGAACCTTAAGGCAGGTGTGTCCTAGTTTAGCTTATTTGGACACTAATGAAAGAATGACCCCAGGCATAGTGAAGGACACTATGTATGTTGTGTTATTAACAGTTTTACAGTATAACTATTATATAAACCAGATGATTGGTTGAGCTGATATTCCATATATTCAAAGCTTTTCTACATCAATTAGCCAAAGGATGTGATGCCAGATATTTTACCCACACAGTCGACTCATCCACAACAACAGCATGTTTGAGACACCCTCGGCCCTATCCTTGCCGGTTAATAGGGAGTCTAACTGTGTTGAATTTATGAAATTTCATATTTCTCCCAGAAAATAGAATACTGTAATTGTGATGTCATATTTCTAAATTATTATGAAAACCATCAAAACTGATGTAGAGTAAGTAAAGATGCATCTTTCAGCATGTGATGATGGTGGTGATGGTGAAGGGAGTAAGATTGTGGACATTCAGACTGTTACTTCTCAACAAGACCTTGAAGTGGATACAACTGAAGGGTCATTCCAGGTTTGTACAACAGATTTATTATGGTGTCGCTGATGTATGAGTAAGGATGTGATGGTCCAGATACACAGTCAGTCTTGGTTTGCTTCTCTTCCTGGAAGAAACTTTACATTCGTATGTACTGTAAGCTTGAGTCAATCTGATTTTCTTTTCTGTGTTTCTTTGTTCCCTTGTTTATTTATATAAGATAGTGTACTGTATAAGTACAGTGATATCTTGGAATTTTCCAGAAAATGTGCCCCTAGGAAAATTTTTCCCAAAGCCGGAATTTTCCAGAAAGTTCCGGCTTTGGGAACGATTTTCCGAGAAAATTTCAATTCCGGCTATCAGAAAGTTCAGGGTTTGAGGGATTTCGGCTAACGGATATATTACTGTAAATGTTTTTATGTCATACAAACATCTTATATTGTTTTGTAGTTAGAAAATAAGCTCATCATTGTACAATATATTTAAAAACAAAATGATTTTAGGAGATTTTTGCAGATGACTTTGTAGCAGAAATTTCACTGAAACTGTACCACAGGGTATGTTTTTATTATTATTTTACACATTTTGTGTGAACCAGATTCTATACAAGTACAGTACAGTACTTGAATTGTAGCCAAATATTTTTTATAATAATGTTTTAACAAAAGTTTCTTATGTTCTGACAGGTGGTGACTCTGACAGGTGATGGGAGAGTGACATGGTGGGTGGTTGTGCGTGTGCCTCCTGTGAGTGCTGTTATAGATTTTGGTTTAAGCAGAAAGCACGGCAATAATAACAGTAATAACAGTGGGGCGGGTGTGTCGCCACACCTGGGTGCAGCTCCATGGGCAAGAATTGCCGTTAATCGTGCTGCAACTATTAATGTGGCAACTACACTTTATGGGTAAATATAAATAGCAAATACAGTGAACCCTCACTTTACGCGGTCAATTGAACCCACGGCGGCCCGCGTAAAGTGAACAACATAACATATGGGATTAATTGAAATAGAGACTGGGCCGACCCCAAACTCCACTTTTTCAGACACAATACCTACGTTGTAGTAAAAATAACTTCTTAATTTTATGATGGTATGCACACACAATTAATAATTAAGAGAAATGTCAATAATATTAGGTTTTTTTAATACTTACATCAGTAGAAAAGATGGCTGGGCACACGGGTATGGGGGGTTGGTTCCGAGGCAGAGGGCAGATTATTGGCCCTCACCTGTATCACTTGTATCACTATCCACCACAGAGGCTTGCAGGGCCTCTTTGTCAAACCCCTCAAAGTCCATATAAGTCCATATCCTCACTATCATTATCACTATCACTGACTTAGGCCGGCTGTGGTGGGTGAAGAACTCGGTAATGTTTTGATGACTGGGCGACCTTGTGCGCACCCTGCTAACGCCGCTCTCCGAGTAAAAGGGTACACACACCGCGGAAAGTGAGCATTCCGTGTTCGGTAGGGTACCACGTAAACGTGGAAACGCGTAAAGTGAGGGTTGACTGTATACACTTGTATCTGTACTGTATAAATGACTGTAAATAAAGATAATCAAGGTATAGGGTTGATTTTTCGGTCAAACATTATTTATTTCTGGTCTCGGAACAACTGTGTGACTCACTAGAAGCTTGTGGGACATAAACAAACCCATTTCACTTGCTTTTAGGGAATTCTCACCTCTAAATAGGCAATATTTCGGGTATTTTTATTTACAGTATGTATGTAATGATAAGTTTCTTTATTTTGTTATTTAAGAAGTAAACAAAATTAATCTTTCACTGAGTTTGTATAAGTGTATGGCAGTAAAACTTGACGAAGCAAAGGAAGAAAATTGAAACTAGCCTAGGGTAGAAAATGTCTGGTTTTCTGAGACCTGGTTTCAAAGCTGTGCTGTACTATACTGTGTAGTTATGCCTGGACACTGGTTAACAATCCGAGATTAAAAAAGTTGTCATTTGGGTGATTAGGTTACCGGTAGTTGTGCTAATGACCCTTGAAAATATTTAACTCATTTTCAAATATAGAGTACAGTATTGTACCCACTTCCTGTAATCTCTAGATACTTTTTGTATCTGGAGGAGTTAACTCAAGTAAATGGGTTAATTTCCTGTTCTAAGAGAAAAAGTGTTTTTAATCCCAAAAGACACTAAAGTAACCCCTGACAGTTTTAGCAAATTTTATGAAAATTTTGAGTTTTTATAACATATCTCGGTATAGGGACAGTATAGGGACAGTAATCCTCAGCACACTAATTAAGATTCTGGGGTAAGAAAACTGTCATTTTGATAATTAATTATGTAATAACTTTTGAAATATTTTCTTATTGTTTAAAGTTGGAAATTAATTGAAGAATATATTGTATCCAGTAAGCTTAGAACTGAGCTGAAGAAGGATACGAATTACTTGGACATTACTTAAGGGAGAGAGAAAGATATCTTTTGTGTTGGAAAGATTTATTTTATTTATTATTTTTCAGTGAGACATTGCTGGCAGGAGGCATCACATGTCATAAGCTAGAATTAGATCCTAATGACTCTGGTCAGCTTTACGTAGCCACTGGAAGTGGTGCCGTAGCTCGCTGTTCACGCCACACCCACAAGATTCACCCCAAGTCTTATGTACCAGAAATTGGTCAGTATCTGGTATTTACTTTACCACAACTGTTTACATTAATTTATTATATATGACAGCTTGATAACTAAACATACATGGAAAATTCAGTTGGAGATGTTTGAGCATTCTGCAAATAATAAGTTACTTACAGTTCAGTAAGTAAATATTTAGTGGAAGTTTGTCTAAGTGTGTGTTGCAGGAAACTGAAGTTAAGGTACAAATTAAGTTGCTAGAGAAAGTTAATAACAATTATGAAACACCAAAGAGATTAATGAAACTGTGTAGTAAGAGACTGATAAAACAAAAAAGAATTTCATTGGTATAATCTGAATATTTATCTCCATTTTAAGCCAGAACATTATTACAGAGCCTGGATGTGAAGCTCTCTGTCTAGCACTGTGTCCACATGACATGCGGTACCTGCTGGTGGGGAGCGGCGATGGTGTTGTGCGCCTGCATAGTGTCAACACAGAGCGACCTCTCACCTCCTGGCAGTCTGCTCCAGATTCGTCTCCAATTGTAGATTTACAGTGGTCACCTGCCCGTCCCTGTGTCTTTTATGTGTTGGATTCTCTTTCAAGGTCTGTTTACATCAGTGTGTTCTAAAGTACAGTATTGACAATTCAGGGATAAGGTCATCAGATAATAACTTAGGTAGTATTGTAAAAAGTAGGAGATTTACTTGGATATAGGATGATGGTCCTGTACTGTACAAGAAATATAATGGGATAATGACTCTCGAGAAATATAAAGAGATGAGATTACACTACTAGATGAAGTAACTATTGAATAAGAAATTGCTGAAGTAAATTGACAGCATTGTAATGAAGGGAAAGAAGTGGAAAACTAGATGTCATTATAAATAGGTACAGTAATAATGAGTGTCAACTTGCCAAATTCTTCTAAAAATGATTAAAATGGGAAATTCCTCAATTTTATCTTCAGACACACAAAAAGGTTTCCAGAATGCACAATATTACGTTATACATAACCTTTTGTGAACATCCAGTAATATAATGTTGAAGGTTGCATATATGGGACCTAAATGATGCCATAATGTTGCAGGTTGCATATATGGGACCTGAGTGCTGGTGACATCTTCCCTGTGTTGACTTTGGAGTCTGGGGGACTTGTGAACGGTAACCTGAGTGCCTTCCACATAGCTCCAACTCAGATACCTTCTCATCATCCCGTTCACACTGTAAGTTATACCAGACAATGTGTTTGGTGATGGTGGAATATTAATGGGCAAAGTTGAAGTTAGGAGAGCTAGGGGACGACAGAGACTGGGATGATTGAATAATGACTGAGATTAAAAGCTGTGGTCCCCAGAGAAATACAGAATCTTGGAAGTACAGTACTAGTAAATATTTGGAGTGGAGGATAGATAGATAAATAGATAGATAGATAACCCAAGTAGATAGACAGAAAGATATGATAGATGAGACAGATATTAAATTAGTTTGATTAATAATTTTTGTTGGCAGGTGTTTGCGAGTGATGAAGGAGAGCTGAAATTGAGGCAGGTGAGTCCAGAGTTCTGCACCTATGAGCTTGTTGATGATTATAAAACAGAACTAGAGAGGTTTACCTATTACGTTAATATTATATAAGGTTTTGGTTTATCAAGAGGACATGTTGACGTAGTAACAGTTTTAGAGAGATATAATTTTTGTATGTAATGTGCTGTACAGTTAATGAGTGAGGATTTTATAAGAGTTTGACGAGGAATCTTTCAATAACAAGTACTTCACCTGTGTGTTTATAAAATAAAAAATACAACTTATTGAACAAACTGTAGTTGCTTTGATTTGATTAAAAATTATGTTCAGTTAAGATAAATATAAATTCTTAAATATTTTAAGAAAAAAAACATTCTAAAAACATTTGATATTTTACTGTTAATCTGATATTGTTTAGTTATCCTCTATAATTGATCAATCATAAGCTGTTGAGGTAAATACAGCACTGAATATATAATACTGAGAGAAACTGTACAGCACTGAGATATGAAGAGCAATACTGATGTTAAATTCTTAAAGAGTTACTGTAAGATAAACCTAAGGTGAATTTGTTCATTATAAGAGTCTTGATGGATCTATTGAACAAAAGCTAGTGAAAATCAATACTGTACTGAACCAAAGAAAGACTAGTATTATATTTGCTCTATGCTGTACTGTACCCAGCATTAAGTCCTCTTTGCAGATCTATGCAGTGATCTAGTGAAGTAAAATGTTCCTGGATGACAAAAGCCTTAGTTTCTCTCTGATAAAGTTCTCTTCACTGTTTGCTATATGGCTAGCATACTGTGTAGGAGTAACTTGGCTTATTTCATTGATATATTTTAAGACCTTTTTCTTCTCTTTTATTAAACAATGTGGAAAGATCATATGTGATGGGGTAATGCACATTTAACCTCCCTTGTCATTGTTCCTTTGTTGAAAAAGATTTATGGGCCGTCCAGGATTAAGTAAGACTAACTGTCCGTCCATTACTTAGGCAAAATGTGCCAGGTATTTTACACAGTAGAGAAATGTTACTCTTCTAAAATTACTGTATTATTATCTTGTTCATCAGAGCCATTCTATTGATGACAAATGATTCTCTTTCTGATGCTTATTGAGCTCACAGAAATTCTTCCCCATGTGATATAATTCCCTCCAGCAATGTTCCTCATCTTTATCACTGCTGTATTGGTGATCATATGCAAGTGGTCCCTGTTGTGTACACTCACTCCAAAAAGTATCTTATGAATTTTTGTAAGACAACATGACACAATGGACGGAGGAATTTGATAATTATACAGAGATGACAAGAGTTGCAATGTTCATTTTGAAATTCATCGGACCCCTCCATAAAGATACTTTTTTGGAGTGAGTGTACGGTACTTGTAAATAAGTTGTAATAGTGAAGAACTTGGCTTAGAGGTAAAAAAAATAATGTAGGAAAGGCAGTATTTATATTTCATTGGTGTGACTGTATACAATACTTTATGGAGGAGTTATAAGATCAGTGTTCATTGTGCCTACACTGGTGAGGAGTCATGGAGCCAAGTTTACCTGATCTTCTGTTAAAGCTTCTCAATAAAGTAGTGAGTTTGGCTGATAAATCTTTAAATAACTATGAATGTGCCAATTTTTTTCCATATATTATTTGTACTTCTGATTTCATGATTGTTTTTATCATTAATTTCAGCTATTGTAATTATATACTTAAGTCAAACAAGAAGTTGGTTTTTCATTTAAGGGTGGACATTAATGCTCACTGATATATTATTAACATAAAAATATACTATACATTCCTTTGTGAAGGATAATATTTCTCTTGTTGATATATATATATATATATATATATATATATATATATATATATATATATATATATATATATATATATATATATATATATATATATATATATATATATATATATATATATATATATATATATAATATATATATACCCCAATTTACTCGGTCAATTGAACCCACAGGGTACCGCGGAAAGTGAACAACAGAACATATGGGATTAATTCCAATAGAGACTGGCCCGACCCCCAAACTCCACTTTTTCCGACACAATACCTATGTTGTAGTAAAAATAACATCTAAATTTTATGATGGTATGCTCACACAATTAATATTTAAGAGAAATACAGTCGCCAGGTTAATGTCCATTCAAATAATGGACTCAAATCCCCCCCCCCTCTTCCCAGCTCACTAGCTCCTACCTCTCTGAGAAATGTTTGGGTGAAAACACTAGATTTTAACGTTTAGTAATATATAATACCTCAGACTAAAGTTAGGATAATATTATTGACATTTCTGGATTCCTTGCAGGTCAGGGAATGTTTTGAATGTAAACTTCATATATTTTGCACTAAAGATAAAATATTTGCTTTGTGTAAACCAAATTATTACATTAGATCTAAAATTTGTATGTCTAATGCAAAATCCATGATGTTTATATTCAAAATGATCATCATATTGTAAGAATTCCAGCAATGTAAATTATATTCTGGCTGGGTAATTTGTATGAATTTTAAGCTAAATAAAAAAAGAAAAAAAAATTATACTTCACCGCGTATATGAGTAGATGCACAGCGGAAAGTGAAAGTCCGGTTCTGGCAAGGTACCGCGTAAATGAGAAATCGCAGAAAGTGAAACCGTGTAAATCGGGGTAATACTGTATATATATATATATCACACCAGTAGGATAATATAATGAAATGATATATTGTTATATAATTTGAGTTGACTTTAGTACTTTTAAACTCTAAGGACCAATTACTAGTCAAACTACTAGTCATTATAGGTGACCCCTGTAATGGTGCGTGGATGGTATTACAAACTTGTGATCTGTGCGTTGGTCTGGTACCATGTATATTAATAGGATCTTGGCTCATGGTACTATATATTATTAGGATCTTAGCTCTGTGTAATTTATATTTTTTGTCATAGAAAGGTTTTATCCTTTGTCTAGTCATTATTGTGTTCTAAAAGATGGTAAACACAGGTGATTGCTAAGTTTGGTTTGTACAACAGTGTTTGTCTCTTGTTTTCTATAATGTGTCACAAATTCTTGAAAAATTACACCACTGGTAATCTTAATACAGTACAGTACATATGGATGTCATCATTAGACATTTTATAGTTTGTTTGAGACAGTACGGTAGTTATTTGTTTCATGGTAAAGAACGGTGAAAAGGAACAATGTTGTGAGTTTCCAAAAGCTAGCATCAACATGTGGTGATATTACTCCTATGATTTTGATAGAATGAGCATTAACAGTGTGTTGGAGAACTGTTGTGGCCTTATTAGTTAATATCAGGTTATTTTTTAGAATGAACCAAAAATTTCATATACCATAAAGTGATTGTAAATAGTGTAGGATTAACACAGCACTGTATGTGTATTTTGTAACACACACACATATATGTACGTGCAGGGCAAAGAGTAGTTAAATGGGTACCTGTTTCTTTCTTTCAGATACTGTGGCTCATAAATGTATATTCAGGCAATGTTATGTTAAGAATTTCCTCCCAATTTCTTTTTGCCCTGTGCAGATGTCCCTCTCTTTTTGTTCACTGTTATGTACTGTATGGAGCAGTATTTTCTGGTCACCCATCATTCTAGTGGGACAAGTGTACAGTATATACATATAAAGGTGTCTATTATAATAAAGTAGAGAATAACTTGTTACCTGCTGTGTCTAGTCAACATGTATAGTTTTCTGATGGACATTGATGATATATCTAGAGTTTGAGCACACAATTTTCTCACAGTTGTGTATCCCTATTTTAAGAAATGCCTTTATATAGTTCATGTGTTTTATAGCACATATATTTTTACAGTATATCAGTGTGTGGTGATTCATGGTATAATAATGTCCATTGTTATACAGTATATTATTCCAACCAGTTTGATTGAGTATATACTGAGAGTTATGGTTACCTGTTAATGTGTTGGTGTATTTATTAATTTATGAAGTATGTTGAAGGTACTGTTCAAAATTAGTCAAAGTACTCTTTTTCTTTTGGTTGGGAAAACTTAGTAAATGGTAAAAAGAATTAACTTGAGGTACTGCTGTTAGACTTTGGTTTTCTCTCAAGTCATGGAGGGGAGAGGAGTGATATCATCTGAGTTTCATCTGCAACTTCAGGACCAAGGCTAATTTCATTTTGTACAGATGGACACTCAGCCAGTAGCCAGCAGTGTTAAGTGGCTACAGCAGGGCGTGTGAAGTGCCAAAAAAATTATCTAATTAATTTTAATATTTATCAATGCAGTATGAATTCTATGTTCTGTACAGTAGCTAAAACAACTGTCTGTGCATACATTGTGGGAAACAATATGAGACCATGGACGATAAATTTTGGTATATGAGGGCTGTGACTAGTCACACGTAAAATTTCGGAGCATACTGATCCCCCACCTGCACAGATAGTTGTTTTAGCCACTGTACATTTTGGGTAGAGGCATTTGCTGAATGAACTAAAATTAATACTGTACTGTACTGTCTTGAATTTGCAAGTGGTTTTGTAATCTATCTGAGTGGGCAGAAAACCATAAGACTTTCAGTATTTCCTTGTAAGATATTTTTTAAAGTAATGTTTCAGTTGTACATCATTCAATAAATTATCTTTATGATTTTGTGTGAGTAAATATGACAACAGACTGAGGGTACATGTCCAACAGGAATGGAATATACAAACTCCTATTGGATAACGTTTACTATTTATTCGTTATATTAACCTCTATATCATCACATGAAAGTACAACAATAATCTCTGAATGTTGCAAGAATAACAGACAAACTGATATAAACTGTCAAAAGAGAGTAAATGTTATGCTTATTTTAAAGGTGAATAATACCAACAATGTAGTCACCGATGGGAATAGTCTTGTGTCAGAAATGAGCACATCTGCCGGGAAACCATAAATTCATTATTGAGCTGAAGAAGTGACTTGTAATTTCACATTTTTAGCAAGTATAGTACTGTCTAGTGATCCTTAGAGGGTAAAGTATACTGCAAAAATTGTGTAGTTAAAGTCTGTACGTACTGTAACAGAACAGCAGCCGTCGAACACACTCCTTGGCACAACTAATTCCCCAAGATTGACACAGTGACCTGACACAAACATTGTTGGAAAAGTACAACATATTATTAGGACGTCACAATGTTTAGGTGACGTTATGTAGTATTTCCTTTCAGAAGTGTTGTATCTAAATGCTCTTTGTTGGATTTTGTCTGTTATATCTTGAAAGAAAAAAAGCATATAAATAAGTACCTTATACTGTATAGGTTTGTGGTGGATGTACAATAGAATCTTCTTTTCCATTCCTCTAAGTACAAGATAACCAACACTCTCTTAAGAACCATATGACTGCCCAAATTTGTCTATGAACTTGTGAAAGCTCTTTATAACTCCAAACTTCAAGCTTGTGATTCCTTCAGTCCTCTTATTTGTAAATTATACAGTCAAATTTTTAGAATTTCAAAACTGTTCTGCACTGGTAATGAAGTCAGAAAGTGTCAAGTTATTGTCACTGGAGTTTAATGTAAATCAGGAAGGGTAAACCTTGTATCTGAAAATCACACAATTTTTTAATACTATAGACACACCCACGTAAGTACTATAGATATTAATCCAAGATATTCAAAGCATGCAAAAGATGTTCTAAAGGAAAGCTCAGTATATATAGAAAATATTCTCTGAATGTCTGCATGAAGTTATGTGATGAGGTACTGTAGTGTCTAGATAAATACAGTATAGATATTGGTGATGTAATAGTGCAATATCTTGTTACTGTACTGTCCATTTATGTACAACATATTTTTGTCAGTCATGTATGTCTTGTCATCAATTATATATATATATATATATATAAGATTAGGTCCACAATGGTCAGGTATTACGTAATACCTGACCATTGGGACCTGATCTCACCCTCCTCTGTATATATACACCTTGTTTTGTACTTCTCCTTAGTCTGTACTCACCCCTGAAGATGTAAATTACACTAAAGCTGGGAACTCTCTGGTGGTTTTCTTTCTTTCTTGTGGTTATCAGCATACCTAGATCACAAGACTCACAGTGTGATTTACTTGCATATACAGTAGTACCCGGTTACGCGGTCGAATTGAACCCACAGGGTACGCGGAAGAGTGAAATCAGCGTAAAGTGAACAACAGAACATAGGATTAATTCCAATAGGGAACTGGCCGACCCCCAAACTCCACTTTTGTGACACACAACTATGTTGTAGCTAAAAATATTATCTTAACTTTATGATGGTATGCACACACAATTAATATAGAAGGGTTAGGTTAGGAAAAATAAAGGTTAAGCTAGGAAAAATAAAAAGGTTGGGTGCTTAACACTTACGTTAGTAGAAGAGATGGTGTCTGAGGGATGGAGGCTGGTTCGAGGCGGAGGGCAGATTACTGGTCCTCAGGTGAATCACCATCACTATCAGTCATAGTTGTCAGGGCCTCCTGACCGTCCCTCAAAAGTCACTTTCACTGTCACTATCACACTGGCCTGGCCCAGCTGTGGTGGGTTGCGGTGAAGAACTTCGGTAATGATTTTTTGAAGAGAGCTAGTGTTGGCGTTGTCTTGATACACCTTGATGCTCACGGCTCTAGCCTACCCGGCGGGTATGGAAGCTTCATAAGGTCATCGTCAGGGTTGTTGGAAAAAGGAAGAGGCTTTTAATTTTTCCTGCCTTTCGATGGCACCCTTAACTCAGCCTGCGTTAATTGTGTTCTTCTTTAGGATTGGCGCTACAGCTTCCTCTTCA